TCTCGACCTAAAGGCCGACGTGATGACCTTGGGGAGAAAAGCCGGATTGGGCCACAATTCCATTTGCCGTCGCCCTCTCCAAAGGCCAGGCAAGACGCATGGACGGAGAGCGCACACAAGTCGCCCGCCCTCTTAGCAGACGCCAACTTCAGCAAGAGGGCCGTCTTAAAAGCGACACACTCGGGACTCGCCTCCGCCGCCGGTTCAAAAGGCGGACCCGACAGACCCCTAAGGACCACCCTGAGGTCCCAAACCGGGGGCGTTCTCTGAAGCGGGGCCTCCTCCTGCGCGCCCCCCGCAGAAAACGTTAAACCAACGGATGAGAGCGGGCTGTGAACCCCCGAATCCGTTGTGACCCGAGGTAATGGCTGCCGCGAACACCACCAAGGTGGCGACAGTCCTCCCTTTGTCAAAAAGCTCCTGTAGGAATCCCAGGACCCCCTCCAGCGGGCAACACCTGGGATCCCAGGAGCGAGAACCGCACAAGTCGCTGAAGAGCCTCCACCTCGTGGCGTAGGCCCTCACAGTGGACAGCGCCCTCGCCCCCTGAATGGTCTCCACCACCGCCGGGGGAAGACCCAGGTCTACGAGGTTCCGCCTCTCAGCCTCCAAACCCAGAGCCTGCGGCCGATTATCGGGCGTGAAAACAGGGCCACCCCCCCTGGACTAGAGCCCCCGGCTCGTTCGGGAGGGCCCAGGGCTCCATCACCGCCATGCCCGTCAGGAAGGGGAACCACCGGGCATGCGGACTGTCCGGAGCCACCAGGATCACTGACCTCCTCTCCTGTTCGATCCTCCGCAGCAGGACCGGCAGGAGACGCACTGGCGGGAAGGCATACAGCAGGCCCTCCGGCCAGGGGTAATGAGCCAGAGCGTCCACGCCTAAGGGCGGCTCGTCCGCGGCCCTTAAGGCGAACCAGGACGGGCACTGTGCGTTCTCTGCACTGGCGAAAAGGTCGACCACTGGACGGCCGAACCTCCGCCAGATCTCCGCAGCCACCCGTGGGGCCAGGCCCCACTAGTCCTGGAGTGGGCCCCCCCTGGACATCCTGTCGGCCCCCACGTTCCGGACACCCGGGATGTGGCGCGCACTCAGAGACAGAAGGTGAAGCAGCGTCACCGTCGCCATGCGATGGAGGGCGGGGGACCTGGTGCCCCCCTGCCTGTTTAGATAAGAGACCACTGTGGTGTTGTCTGAGCGAACCATCACGTGTCTCCCCTGCAGCTGAGGAGCAAAGTGCAGCAGTACCCTGTGTACTGCCTCCATCTCCAGCAGGTTGATATGGGCTGAGTCCGACCAGCAGCCTCCTACGGAGCTCTGGCCGAGGACGTGAGAACCAACTCTGAAAATTCCTCATGTGGAGAAGGCCTAGCCGCACCACAGCATGAGCCGCCGCCATCATCCCCAGCAGGGACCTGAGGCGCCGAGCGGGGACCCTGGGGCCCGCCAGAACCTCCCTGGCTAGACGGGTAATGTTCCTCCGTCTGTCCTCGGACAATGCCGCACGGAATGTCACAGAGTCTAGCTGCAGGCCGAGATAGATCATGCGCTGAGCCGGTTGCAGCCTGCTTCTACGTCATGGTGCTACGTCCCTTAGCGGACTTCGCTAGTGGAATATCACGTGCACCTATTCGTAGACTTTAAGTTACATTAGGTAACTATTAATTTTCTCCCTGTTCACCACAAAGCCCAGGCGCTGTATGTGAGACAGGACCCAGTGCGTGTGACTCACGGCCACTTCCCTGGATGAGGCCAGTATTAACCAATCGTCTATGTAGGTTAATATTCTTACCCCTGCGCGTCTGAGCGGCTCCAGCACCGCTTCCACGCACTTTGAGAAGGTCCGAGGCGCGAGCGCGTAGCCGAAAGGGAGACGGCAGAACTCGTAACTCCTCTCTCCCACTGCGAAGCGCAGGAACCTCCTGTGTTCCGGAACTATCGGCACGTGAAAGTAAGCGTCTGTCAGGTCTATGGAGGACATCCAATCTCCCTGCCTGACACACTCGAGGAGCTGTTTTGGGGACAGCATCCGAAACTGCCGTTTGGAAATGCACTCGTTCAGAACACGCAAATCCAAAATGGGACGCACCCCGCCTGACTTCTTTGGCACCAAAAGTAAGGGGAGTACAGCCCCCTGGTGGCGTCCTGTGGGTCTACCTCCACTGCTGCGCCTCGCCTCAGCAGAGAGGAGACCTCCGCTTGTAGTGCCACTGATGATCCCCGTACTTGAGAGCGTGCTGCCCGTACGCCTCGGAATGGTGGTGGCTTTCGGGAGAATTGCAGTGCGTAACCCCTGCGCAATGTCTTCTCCAGCCACAGATCCGTCAGTAATCCCTGCTCCCTCCAGATGCTGTAGAAGTCTGTGAGGGGAGGAGCGGGAGCTGGAACACAAGACGTCACGGCCCCGCCCTCTCCCGGTGTTCCTAGCAGGGAGGGGGGGTGGACGAAAGGGCAGGGGGGCCCCCTGCGTCATACCGTGTGCGCCGGGGGCGGTCACGTGTCCTGCAGGCCCGACGTCATAAGTACGGGTCTGCTCATACCACGTGACTCGACTGCTGCGCCCCCCCCTGGCTCTTGCCTCATGGAGGGGGGGGCGAGCCCCTGGAGTGGGAAACCCCGTGTTAGCCTTGTAGCTCAGAGGGGCTAGCACACGTTCGGCCGAAGCACACACATCACTACTCGCCAGATCCCTCCGCCTGACCTGGCCTGATACCCTGGGAGGGTATAGCATGGATCAAAGGACCGGAGCTCGTAGCTCGCGTAGCGCACTGCACACCCTGCTCTGGGGGCTGCAGGCCTAGCGAAGCAACGTTATGGGCCCGGGAAGTAACACAATCAGAATTCACATTAGACATGTTACATACCCCCAAATGAGACTCAGACAACAAGTACTGATGAAATGCCGGTCGGCCTTTATTGAAAGAATTCTTGCCACCCCGACCTCCTCTACCATAGGGAGGCCGGCGGTGGGTGCGTTGCTCCCGCGAGCCACCCGTGGGTCTGTCTGGACCCGGGGGCCTCGTCGAGGGGGGACGATGGACCACAGAGCGCGGATACGGGTCAGGACGCCTCCCGGGCGAACGCTCTCTGCCTCTGTCCCGGCTCCGTGATGGTGGGCGGGCCTCGCGCCTCGGTGCTAGGTGCGGGGCTAGCCTAGCCGAGTCGTTGGCTGCAGACTCCAGTCTCGCCACCAGGGCCTGCATGTCCGGGACGAAGAGGGACGTCTGGGAGACGGGCAGGTCCAGCAGCTGCCTCTTCTCCGCCTCCCTGATGTTAGCCAGCCCAAGCCAAAGGTGCCTGGCCCCGACTCAGGCTGCTGCCATGGAGCGGCCGCCATCCACGGCTAGCGCCTGGCACATGCGCAGGATCGCCGCCGAGGTGGTCCTTGCCTGCGATAGGAGGTCTCCACTGAGCGCCTGGCCAGAGGAGAGCGACCTATCCAGGGCCCCCGTGATGAATGCCATGTTGTTTGCCAATGCGACGACCTGTGCCGCATTGGCATAACATCTATCCAGCATAGCCAAAGACATCCTGTCCCGCTCGGAGGGAAGGAGAGGTCTGGTGCAGGGCCACACGGATGCGGAGGGCTGCAGGGCCATGCGGACTGAATCCTCGATGTCCGGGACACCACCTGTCCAGGACCAGTCCTGCACGCTGCAATACATGCCGTACCCCAGAGCAGGCCTCTTGGCTGCTAGGGGCTTTGGCCACTCACGTGTCGCGTAATGGACGATCGGGTCCATCCGCGGGCACAACGTGGGGAGTATCCTCCTCCTCCCTCGGGTGGTGGCGCCCACAGAGGTGAAGTCCTCCACCCTCTGGATCGGCTGCGGTGGCAGAGGAGCATCCATGATGGCCGCCGCGGAGGAGTAGAGCCCAGGCATGTGGTCCAGCGGAAAGCGGTTCGGGTTCGACACCACCTCGTCCAGGGTGAGGAGAGAGCCGATCTCCGAAGCCTCTCCATCCTCGCAGTCACCCAATTCCGCGGGCAACGACGACGTCCGACGCCGAAGGGCGAAGGGGAACTCGCACGAACAACGGAAGACGTCTCTCAGAATGAAGTAAGTACTGTGGTAGATCTCAATCGGCGCCTTGTGCAGGGGCCTTTATAGAGGAGGGTCGCTAGTGATTGGAGTAAATTATTTTGATCTTTCTGGCGTGTGACCTGGGGGTCACGAGTGATATCCCACTAGCGAAGTCCTAAGGGACGTAGCACCATGACGTAGAATGTAATTAACGTGAGTTAACGCGATAATTTTGACAGCCCTAAACATAAGACATCGAAAGAACATAACACGGACACACAATCATAGCAGATACACAATCAGGTCGTTGTGACCTACGCAAGGCCAGATCACTTGTATAGCTATCTAATTCCCAAACGTCTCTAAGCCCAAAAGCGTCAAATTTCAGTATGCAAAAGATAACATGTTTTCTAAAGAGGAGATGAGGACAGTATGAGTGCTCTGATTTATTCTCAACCAATTACTTTTACAAGAATCTCTCTGTTACAACATACAAGTTGTTTATTGCTGAAGAACAAACAGCATAGGTGGAATTCTACCTTGGAATCTTAATTCTTAGCAACCCAATAAATTGTGTTTAATTAGTGGTTTTACTCATCTATGATAATGTCATGGTTTAGTTTGAGGTCAGAAGAGCTGCGGCAAAAACAGAGTGGGAATAAAAAATAAAAATGTTTTTCTATTTTTTTTTTACAAACAATTACTTGATTATAACTTTTTTTTTATTTTTACCAAAAATCATGTCTTTAAGTATTTCAATCTCAATTTTCAGACAAAAACTTGGCAAAAAAGTTCAAAAGTTGCATTTAACATTTAACCAGTGGAAAATGTGATCTGAAGATGTTGCGGTGAATACTTGTTTGCAATAATTTCTGTAAAACCTGTAAAAAAAATTAAAATTGTATGTAAAAATTGCCAAAAAAACTGTTGTTTATTTATCACACTTATTTTTAACAACATTCATTTTCCAATAGGCGACACCTGAGAACACGGTCTTGCCAAATGGACTGGTTGAGGGCCATGCCTACGCTGTAACTGGCATCAAAGAGGTATTGCTCTTTTCAAAACGGTTTTTCTTCAATACTTAAACAAACTAATACATTTTTTATTGACGTTTTAAAAGCTGATGAGCCGGGGCCAGCGTGTGAAAATGGTGCGTCTCTGGAACCCCTGGGGCAAAGGGGAGTGGAAAGGTGACTGGAGCGATCGGTAAGAGCAACAGCAGATTGAAAAGACATTATAAGATAAGCCATCAGAGTAACCAGTTGGGCTGGAAACACACATGCAACACAAGCATACACACAGGTATTATGATTAGAAAGTCCATTTACTTCTGTGCTACAAGCAATAGATAGATAGATACTTCAGATAGATACTTAGCAGCAAAAATAAAAATAAAATTGATAATTCTAAAAACATAATAATAGTAATAATCGGCAACACCCCTTTAGGTCACAGCAGCACAGATGGAGTAGCCACTGGGTGGAGCAGGACAGGTCAAGAGGTGGAGTACCCTCTTGATTCGGACCCTTTTCTCTGCTCTGGTCCAAAGTAAAATGCTAAATGATTCATTAGCATTTTTCAAAAAGTCAGCATTCCTCCAGTGGATATTCACCTGATCCTCTTGGTTCGGACCATGAATCCTCTCTGCTCCGGTCTGGACCAGTGTAAAACCATGAACACTGTACTGCAGCAACATCTCAGGCAGAAAAAAGCAAGAAAAATAAAAATGGATTAAGCACAAAACAACAACTGTTTTAGAGCATCGTTCAAAAAAAAAAAAAAAACGAATATATGACACACTTGTGCGAGTGTTGTTGTTGTTATTGGGGGACACACTCACGCAAAGTGAGATATAATAATAATAATAATCTTTATTCCGGACTCAAGGTCCATACAAGAGACAACACAAGGACACCACAAGACACAGAAACATAAAAATTAAAATAGCAAAGTCTAAGGACTCATTTACAAAGACTCTTGTACCAGTGGTCCCAGAACTGAGAAATACAGCGTGTTGTACTGAACTTGGCATTCACCAAAACAACAACAACCAGGTTCACAGACTCGTTCAATCGGCAAATAAAACTAAACATTGCATTTCTCAGGACAGACTTCAGTGTGTTCTGTTGCTCACGAACAACTCACTCGCATGAGTCAATCTGGGCTTCTTTAACAGCATCCTCAGAGCGTCATTGAAAGCTACCTGCAACTAATTCTCCTCTCTAGGAGAATTAGTTCCACAACTTTGGATAAAATATTAGCTAGAGCTATAGGTCTATAGCTTTCAGAGGAGCCCACTTTTCCTGCTTTATCTTTAATTACAGGAGTCAGTGTCACAGACATAATTAAATTTGGAAGATACAGTAGCCATGGATCATAAAGGCAGTGAAACAGAGTGCCAGTAACATACACAGCTTTGGGCTCGCATGTTTGAGATGTTCAGCAGAGACAGAGTCTGGGCCCGTTGATTTATTAGCTGCCAGGTTTGAAATGGCTTTAGAAACCTCATTGTATGTGATTTCCTCAATAAAATCAACACTGTCTGCTTCAAAGCGTTTGGTCTGGACACAATTAAACATTTTACAATAATGCTTACGCCAGAGCTCAGCAATTGCATTTGCACCAGAGACTCCATCCACTGAACATGGCAGTGAAGGTTTGCAGTTATTTGTACGTTTCACTTCTTTCCAAAAATCATTGTTTGTGTTATCTAAAAGTCTGTTGGCCATAGACTCTGCCCTCAGACGCTGCTCATTCTTACAAATGAAACATATTGCATATTTACATTTTGCATTTGTGCTCTTCTTATGTTCAAAAATGGGCCCTTGTCTTGGCTTTCCAGCTATAGCCCATGATCTAGTGGCTTCACGAGCCTCAGCATAGAATTCAGCCACATAATCATTCCACCCAGGCAGAGTTTTTCCTCTCTTCTTATGCTTAAGGAAAGGCTTACTAGCTTCAAGTAAAGCAGAGACAATTGTGCTATACAAAATAGAGATATCAGTGCTATGTTCACGCTTTGAACAATTACCATCTTTGCACAGGAGGGCCTCTTTAGGGATGTATACATTACTCAATAATTGCTCAGTGTAATCATAGTCAAATGACAATTCTTCACATTTCATAGAGGACCAATCTAAGAAGCCCTGTTTTGGATTATTATTACATTTTATAGTTGAAGGTATGCTGTCAAACTTGATCACCATTTTAACAGGAATGTGATCAACAGTGGAGAAATCATATAAAATTTCCATATGTGCCAAGCATATGTCATTCACAATACAACAAATGCGATTTAGTTGTGATGTCCAGATATCCAGTTTCACCTGGACATCTGGCTAAACATCAGAACATAAGACATCAATCAGATCACCCTTTTCAGACCAAAAAAAAAAAAAAAAAAAAACTTAAGTCCAAAGCGTCAAATAGTGACAAAGGGCTCTTTTTTACAAGGATGCAAAAGAGATTTTAATATTGAGTTGAAGGAGTTCAGTGGACTCACTCCTTCACTGTATCCAACAGATCAGTGAGTGGATGCAAAACAACTTCCTTCAGCTAAACGCAGACAAAACTGAAATGATTGTCTTTGGTCCCCAGAAACAAAGAGAGAGCGTCATCTGTCACCTACAGTCTCTCTCCCTAAAACCTTCAAACAAGGTCAGAAATCTAGGGGTAATTCTGGACTCAGACTTAAATTTTAATAGCCACATCAAATCAGTAACATCAGCAGCTTTTTACCATCTAAAAAACATTGCCAGGATCAAAAACATAGTGTCTAAAGCAGACTTGGAGATTCTTATCCATGCATTTGTCTCCAGTAGGTTAGACTACTGCAATGGCCTGCTCACAGGTCTGTCCAAACAGGCTGTAAAACAGCTGCAGTACATTCAAAATGCAGCAGCTCGAGTCCTGACTAGAACCAGGAAGTACGACCACATTAGTCCAGTCCTCAGGTCTCTGCACTGGCTTCCTGTGGCTCAGAGAATAGACTTTAAAACAGCTCCGCTTGTGTACAAGTCTCTCCATGGCCTCGCACCAAAATATATTAGTGGCATGTTAGTCCCATATGAACCAGCCCGGACTCTGAGGAGCACAGGGACTGGACTCCTGTTAGTGCCCAGAGTCAGAACTAAACATGGGGAGGCTGCTTTTCAGATTCATGCTGCTAAAATCTGGAACAGTCTTCCTGAAGATGTGAGACAGGCCTCCTCTCTGACAATGTTTAAAATCAGGTTAAAGACAGTTCTGTTTAGCTGTGCTACAACTGAGGGATTTCATACTTTTAGCTTTCTTTTTAATGTTCTGTGATTATTTATGATTTTAATGCTTTCTTGCTTTGTTCAGCACTTTGAATTGCCTTGTGTATGAATTGTGCTATATAAATAAACTTGCCTTGCCTTGCCTTATAATACTGTGAATGATCTGTCAATGATGGTTTACTTATGTTAGATTACTGATGTTAAAGATTAAGCTATTTTTAACCAGGCAGTCGTCTAAACTCAATGAATTGATAGAAATTCCAGTATTTTTCATGCTTAGGTCACCGCTCTGGCAAACAGTAAGCCATGAAGATCGAGAGCTGTGCCTGGCCGTAGTTGACGATGGAGAGTTTTGGTAAGCAGTATACAAACAATAATTTAAAAACATAAAACATAATATAGCAAGATCTGATTTTTTTTTTCTCTGAAAGGATGACTTTGGAAGACTTCTATAAGTTCTACTCAGACCTGGACATCTGCTGTATGTTTCCGGACTTCCTGGATGGAAGTTCTACTTGTCACTGGAAGAAGTCCTTCTACGAGGGCCGCTGGGTGGCGGGCATCACTGCAGGCGGCTGCATGAACAACATGGGTACTGCTCTGTGCAAAAGGACGTCAGACCAGACCAGACCAGACCAGACCAGACAGAACATGGACCAACACAAGGGCTTGTCTAAAAATTTTCATTTTGTCTGATTTTGACTCCTTTACTGCTTTGGGTTTTTGTTCAAAGACAACAACTGGTTCAGATGCCTTGTGAAGATATCAACCGCCTTGGTGAGAGGGGGGGACGGGGTAGGGTGAGAGGGCGGGAGGGGCAGACGAGGGTGACAGGGTATGAGATTGAGAGGGTGGTAGGGCAAGCGGCCGTGAGGGGGGGATAAAGGACCTTGAGAGGTATATTTGAATGTGGCTTACATTAAAGTTTAAAAATATAATATTTGTTTAGATTTCTTATTTGGCATTTTTCAAGCAAATCCTGTTTTTTTTTACTACACTGTACACTGTACACAATACACTGATTTGAAAGTAATTAAATGTTTCGTACCTCTTAGAGGTAGAATTAGAGGACCAGCTTTCTCATTATTCTAAAAGCTTCCCAGAGATCCAGAATCTTTTTTGAATCAGCACCATTCAATACTGTATTTGTCATCTCGTCCAGTCTCTCCTTTGCTCTTTGCAGAACAGAAAGTAATACTTGCAGTCTGCTTTCTTGCAGAAAGTTTTTGGACAAATCCTCAATATCGAGTGAAGATAGACCAGCTGTATAAAAAATGTGAATCGAGCCAAGGAGACAGAAATATGCTGGTGTCCCTCATGCAGAAACCTGATAAGAGAAACAGGCGACTGGTGCAAAACCTTCACATCGGTTTCTCCATCTTTGCAGTTCCTGATGAAGTAAGTCACGATGCTTTGAAAAGTAAGATAAGATAAGATAAACCTGATTCTATTTCTATTTCTACTTTTTACAAATAAACTCTCTAGCTTCAGCATAAAAAGAAAGTGCCAAACTGTGGTTGTGTCCTTAGGCAAGACACTTCACCCCCATTGCCAAGAATGAGTCTGGTGTGTGGGTGAATCGTTGGTGGTGGTCAGAGGGGCCGATGGCACATACTGGTTGCCTCGCTTCTGTCAGTGTGCCCCAGGGCAGCTGTGGCTACAGTAGTAGTTTTTCACCACCGTGTATGGAGTGAATGAATGACATGTGAAGCGTCTTTGACTGTCCTGAAAAGCGCTATATAAAACTGATGCATTATTATTATTATTATTACTATATTAAGATTGAATGACACAGACTCAGGAGTTCTCATTGTGACTACATCAGTACTTTTCTTTTTGTGGCTGTTTTAGTATGCAGCTGTTCAAGGGAAGTTTCCAGCCGAGTTCTTCCGCACTAACAAAGCAGTGGCTCATACCAAAGCCTACATGAACGCCCGGGAGGTGATGGAGTTTGTGGCGCTGATGCCTGGGGAATACCTCATCGTTCCATCCACCTTCAACCCCAACGAGACAGCTTCTTTCTTGATCACCATCATCTCCAAGTCTGAAACACACGTCCAGTCAGTCTATCTCCAACAGACGGAAATTATATGACTTTGATTCAATGGTTCTTATGAATTTTTGTTTTGCTGCAGTGAGAGCTCCAGTCGCAACAACTACCATTATGTGGAGGTAGAAAAGGTGAGAAAACTCATTGCTGTATTTTACCCTAATTCATGGAAATCGTGGCGGCACTGTGGCTGAGTGGATAGCGCTCAGCAACAAGGTCCTGGATTTGAATTCCGGTCGGAACATGGTCTTTTTGAGTGCAGTTTGCATGTTCTCCCCGTGTCTGTGTAGATTTCCTCCGGGTGCTTTGGTTTCCCTTCCACTAAAACATATACACTAGGTAAAATCCTCCAGCTCCAGCAGTCCTGTAAATATTAACAGACATAGTCACACCTAACTCCGCGGTTGAAACTGCATTCAAAAGTCCACTGCAAGTAAACTAGACTGGTCCCAAAAAATACTCCCCTCAGCATTGACAGCATCTGGAATGGGCCAGGAGCAACCTTTGGACCATCCTGTAAAGCTGTTTTCAAGAGGAAAGAAGGCGGCATACAAAAGCATTGGGTAATTATTTTTCCGGGAACACCCCCACTGGCACGGGACTAGCCCCCATTGGTTCTACGGCAACCACAGCTCCTAATAAGTGCCCTAGTGGCATCAGGATGGGTCAAATGCAGAGGATGAATTGCCCTATGGGGAAAAATATAGCACACTTTTACCTTTACCTTTAATTTGATAAAAAAAAAAACATAATAATATCTGCCTTATTTCTAGCATCCTGAAAACGGGACAAATGGGACAAATGAAGCAAATGAGGACAACAAGAGAAAACTATTCCGTCAATTTTCTGACAAGGTAACTGCACAACCACAAGTGAGCTGACAGCAGAACACATTTTCAATAGTCTGCATAAGAAAAAGGTAGAAGTTAGAACACCCTGTCGGAGTATTCTGGAGAAAAACTAATTAGAATAAAGAGAGACATATCCTTAAAGTTCAAAGATTGGGAAAAAGCAACATTCCCTTTAAAACAATCTTTTATTAATGTTTAAAATAATGTTCTATGTTTGATGCTTATAAAGTGAGGTTTTTAAGCAGTATTAGCTTGTTTACATTGCTTGTCTTATCAAAAGAACTCGCTAAGCATTATTCTTGTATCAAAATAATTTCATTATTTGAAGGGTTTTGGTACTGATACTTTTGAAATCATAGTTAAACGTATGGGAGAAACTCAGAGCCCCCTTGTGGCTCATAGAAAAACTACAAATGCAGGGGGAAGCTGATTTTATGTCATTAGTTTATTTAGATAGGCACAGTGCACACAGTAAATGTGAATTAGTGGTTTTACTTGAATTTGTTGGGTGGACAGTATAATTTTAAAAGCTCAGGTCTGTACGCCATAGATGATTGAATGTATTTTAAATTTGTATAGTCTAAATAATGACAATAATAATAGCAATGATAATAATAGTAAAAAAATAATGCATTATTCTTATTCAGAACTATTTGGGACACTTTATTATACAGCATTATTGTTGCTAAATTACTGCTAAAGCCACATCTGTCCAGGGAAAGAATAATTATTTATGTGTCTACATGTCTTTTAACGAACATTGTTTTCCATTTTGAGTACGAGGAGGTGGATGCAGAGCAGCTCAAGATGCTGCTGAATGAAAACATCCTCAAAGGTATGAAATATAACAGTGCATTGATCTCACAGAAGTAACAAGAGGCATTTGTTTTACCCTCAGGGGACTTGAAATCCGGGGGCTTCTCTGTGGACGCCTGCCGCAGCATGGTCGCGCTCATGGACGTATCCTTTCCAAAAATCTCTCTGAATTAAACGTTATGATTCTTTCAAGTGTTTTAATACGCCCTAACACAACCCCCAAGTCTTCCATTACCGGGAGACTGAATGGTGAAGAATTTGTCCGTTTATGGGGAAAAGTCACAATGTTCAAGGTGAGGACACAAAAACGCCTCTGTAATTTCTCCATCACAATTTGTTTATGACTATATTTAATGTTGAACAGGACATTTTCTACCGTACGGACGTGTCGCGGACTGGAACCCTGTCTATGAATGAGCTGAGAAATGCCATCATGGCTGTCGGTAATATGTTTGAATCAAGACTTTGTTTGGTGATTAAATAAAATGAGATGTAGTGGTGTTTATTATAGTTAAGTTGGAAGAAAAGCTGAAAAACATATGAAGAGTAAAGTTCTTAAATGATTCCACTGCTGTAATAAATCCAAACCACATGATAGGGGTAGAAAACAACTCAATACTCCTAAAACTGTCAATGAATAGATATTTTCATTCATTTTCAACTTTATTAGTCCATTTTTGGATCAAGTGGGGTCGGGAAGATGGCTGCTACATCAACGGTGCCACAGCAGGAGCTTCAGACAATTTGGGGTTATGGGTCTTGCCCAAGAACACAACGACAGCAGACATTAGCAGGAGCAATTGGAGTAGGTCCCGTCATGGGATCGAACCCACGACCTTCTGGGCCAAAGGCCAATGCTCTCCCAACTGAGTTACTGTAGATGATGTTTCACATAAATGAGAGTTGATATTCTGTTACTTTAAAGAGGCATGGCGCAGCTTTTTATGAGAAACTTGATTTTTTTGTCTAAGTAATCATGCAGTGGGGGGACAGTGGCTCAGTTGGCAGTGCATTGGCCTTTGAGTCTGCTGGTCATGGGTTTGAGCCATTGTTGTGTCCTTGGGCAAGACACTTAATCCCACTTTGCCTGAAGCCCCCGCTGAAAGATCAAGGCTGCTCTCACACCTGACAGAGCAGCCATCCTCCTGTGGACTCACTTACAGGAGGATAAATGAATTGGGTGAAGCTCTGGCTGCCACCCCCCGACCCAGAGATGGATGAAGGGGAAGAAAATGGATGGATGGATCTTGCAGTGATCCAGAAGCCGTATGAGTGGTCTGTAGGATGCTACAAGAGCCTTTGTTTGGAATTATCAATTGAATAAATAGTTTTCTCTGCTGTGGGATCCGCTTACCAGAAAATTTACAGAACAATTGATCCTGAAGCTGTAGACACAAACCTGATCAAAAGTTAAGGCACAATGCTGACCACTCTTACAGCCGGTAGCTTTTATCCCACAATTCCCCTCTAATTTTAGACATATCACAGTAATTATTGGAATTTAAAATCACCACAGAGTATAGCAATAGTCCAAATATCTCTAATTTGTCTGTTATACCCTTCTCTAAACCGTTTGCTTCAGAACTTTATACTGAAATTGATCAGAAAATGGGGCTGTAAAATATAATACATTGTAGTTTTTTGTTCTAGTTTAACACTTTAGAATCATACATCTATACGTATGTTACTTTTGTCCATATGTGGAGCTCATGTAACTAGTTTATTCTGCCCTAGGACTGAGACTGAGCGACGAGATGCTCAGTCTGATGGCCGTGAGATATGGAGCCTCCTCTGGCCACATGAGTCTGGAGAGCTTCATCAGTCTGGTTCTTCGCTTCGAATGCATGTCCAGTAAGTGTCCAAATGATAATGATGTTAGCCTATTCGCATCTGCTTTATCCAACCCCGTTTCAAACCTGTGTTAGTGCAAAGAGAGTTGAAATTGTGTTCTGCATGTGCAGAACACAATTTTGCTAATAGATTTTGGTCCGGTGAGAGCGAGTGAACGTTTTGTGGTCGTTTCTGGCTCCATCTAGTGGCAGTAAATCATATTGTTTAGGAATAACAAACAAAGATGCAAACATTTGATTTTACAATAAATTATCTACCACAAAGTCACCCAAAACACACACAAAAACAAACAAGCATATTTTGTTTGACTAATTAAGTCTACATTTTGTTTTTCCCTAGAAATTTACAATAAGTTGTCCAATGGAACGACAATGACCTTGCGAGAGTCTGAGGTGGGTATTATATACTATACATCATTACATTTATGAACTGCTTACTGAATATTTGTTCTTTTTCTTTTACCAGTGGCTGTATGTTTCCATGTACACCTAAAGATGAAATTCCATAAAGCAGCTATTATATGCTATACTATACTTTACTATGCTATACTATGCTATACTATACTATAATATACAAAACAATACTATATGCTGCGATTTCCTTTATCATCATAAATCCTTGTAGACAGCATTAGAGAATGTATAGTTATGATGTTAGTATATACTTTAAAGCAGCTTACATTTACACGGCTGGGGCCCTTTCCTGCTGAGACAGAACCCCTTGTATATATCTTCTGTGGTAAAAACAAAAACAAAAAAAACATCAAAAGTATTATAACTAGCAATGTGTCACCTCCAAAATTGAATCATTTGTCCCTTATTCCATTTCCAAATCCAAATCTGTCCATAACTGTTTTGAGTTATCAAACATGCTAGTCGTCCTGTAACCACTGCTTTACCTGGTGCAGAGCTCCCCCTGTAGGGAGGTAAACGTACTACAGGCATTGCACGCGTCATTATGGAACATGTCTTTCACCGGGTTAGTCACATTAACAGACAATTAGCACAAAGATATTGATTCGTATAGTATTTATTGTAATAGGAAAATGATTCAACAACATTAAATAAATATATTATTAAGTACTCCAAAAGAAATGTGTTCATTCGTAACAGACACAAGTTTGGAGTAATGTTTGATTTGTAAAATACATGGTTTGTTTGACTATTAATTTAAAACACAATACATGAAAATATTCAAAAAAAAATTAAGGATTTAAGTGCAATTCATAATAAATCATCAGTTTCATTTTTAGAGTTGATATTATTTTAAAATATTTTAAATTAAAGTTAAAACAGAGTACATGACAATACGTAGCATAATGATTAAATATAAAGTAACTACTTGCTCAAAATAAAAATTAACAAAGTAAAATCAAGAATACAAGTTATAAAAGATGGAGCTGAATCAGACACATCAGCAGAGCAGCGGTGAAAACAGAAGACGGCACAAGGAAGAGAGCGTCTCCTCGGCTCGAGGTGGAGTTAGCTACAAAACAAGTGACAATCTTGTGTTAGTTTTCAATAATAATTTTGTTTTGAATATCAGAAAGTTCAGTTACTTACGTGTTGTGGTTGTTGTTGTTGTTATTGGGGTTTTTGTGGTTGTGGTGTTTGTGGTTGGGGTTGTGGTGTTTGTGGTTGGGGTTGTGGTGTTTGTGATTGGGGTTGTGGTGTTTGTGGTTGGGGTTGTGGTGTTTGTGTTTGTGGTGTTTGTGGTTGGGGTTGTGGTGTTTGTGATTGGGGTTGTGGTGTTTGTGATTGGGGTTGTGGTGTTTGTGTTTGTGGTGTTTGTGGTTGGGGTTGTGGTGTTTGTGGTTGGGGTTGTGGTGTTTGTGATTGGGGTTGTGGTGTTTGTGTTTGTGGTGTTTGTGATTGGGGTTGTGGTGTTTGTGGTTGGGGTTGTGGTGTTTGTGTTTGTGGTGTTTGTGATTGGGGTTGTGGTGTTTGTGATTGGGGTTGTGGTGTTTGTGTTTGTGGTGTTTGTGATTGGGGTTGTGGTGTTTGTGATTGGGGTTGTGGTGTTTGTGTTTGTGGTGTTTGTGATTGGGGTTGTGGTGTTTGTGATTGGGGTTGTGGTGTTTGTGGTTGGGGTTGTGGTGTTTGTGGTTGGGGTTGTGGTGTTTGTGTTGGTTGGGGTTGTGGTGTTTGTGGTTGTGGTGTTTGTTGTTGTGGTCACCTGGTTACCAGACACTGTAAATAAAGGATTCACAGATCAATGCTTTCGCCTGTTCATTTTCATTAGTACAACAATAAATTAATAAATATTCATTTTGATCCTGAATTGATTGACCAAACAGAGACTTCAAAGCACTACTGCACTTTCCTGTAATGTTTCTTTTTATTTTTTTCATTCATGCAAATCTGTGTAGCACTGTATTTTACAGCAAATTTCCCTTGGGACAATAACGTTTATTGTATCTTATCTTATATAAATAATACATTAAAATAAAACATTGGTATTAGTTATAAGTATTACGTTTTTCTTCAACTCTAATAGTACAAGGAGGATAAAACGTATATTAAGATCTGACTATACGTGTAAACAGAGGCAACTTCTGCTGCTGGACAGCTGAATTTCTCTTACAGGAATTGTCTATCTATCTTTCACTGGAGGCTGTCCATCCATCCATCCATATTCTACCCCTTCATCTATTTCTGGGTCTGGGGGTGGCCAGAGATGCCACATCAGCCCCTCACACATCCTCCTGCAGGTGGTGAGTCCACAGGAGGATGGCCACTCTATGGCATAGCAGGAGCTTCAGGCAAAGTGGGGTTAAGTGTCTTGCCCAAGGACACCACAACAGCCGTCAACTGCGTGTCGGTGGAGAAGGTCTTGCGGTGGGCTCGAACCCACGACCTTCAGGCTCAAAGGCCAATGCTCTACCATCTGAGCCCTCACTGGAGGCTGTCAAATGCGTCAAAACGCTCTAAACCAATGAGGCGCAGGGAAACTCACTGAGCCAATGAAACGCTTTGTCACAGTTGATACAAAGCAGTGGCTGCAGAGTCCAAGACACTGACATGTTTGTCACGTGACCGGTTGTTTGGATACACGCTCTAACGCAGGGTTTTTGTGTCACTCTTTCTGCTTCAAGAGTGACACACGCTCCAGAACATCAGTGTTGTTTGCCCATAACTATTCATTCATTAACCCTCCTGCCTAAAGTTGTCACCAGCCGCCACTGAGTACCAGTAGTAAAAATACAGTAGTTACAGTAAATACAGTAAGTAAAGTAACAAATCCTTGTTACTGTCACTTCTGTAAGCTCTGCTGTGAGTGAGTGAGCTGGAGACTCTTGTGGAGATATTTACCTGGGGCAGATGTGTTTGCTGCTGTTGAATTGTTGATGGTGAGGGGTGGGGCGGTGGGAGTGACTCGGGTGGTGGTCAGACCCAAATCCAGTGTGTCCAGATCCGGCTGTGTCTGCGTGTTGATCCAGGCCTCCACCACAGGCGCCTTCTCGAAGGTCTTCAGGTCGGCCACGCTGCTCCCCAACAGGCCTTGGACTTCACCAACGGTCAGATTCTAAGCCATCAAAACAATTTACCGTTAAAGCGAGTGTATTTTCTTAGCGTACAGTTTGAAAAAAAATTAAATAAAAAGACAAGAAATTGCTATTGTTTTGGTATAATGGTGAAACTTGTAAAGTTTACAACAAACAATCATTAAGACACTTGAATTATTCACTTTACTAAATAAACATATACTCTTATAACGCATTTTGTTAAATTAGTCAGTCTAACATCACAGTTTTGGCCCAGTTTCTTAGTAACATTAAAACTTTATCAAAATCTTACATGTTGATCTTAACTGTGTTTTGTGAAAAGTCAGGCCAAACTTGTCAAACACATTTTAAAGCTGTGGTAACCAATATTTAAAAAGTAAAATAAATGATTCCCTCCAGATATGTATCCAGTATGTATCTTGCAAATACAGAAACCTTACACTCTGTCTTCATTAAATTAGAACTTGTAAAGAAGAACCATGTGAGTCACTATTTGAAGCCTTGAGTTGAGAGCTGATTGGCTAAAATCAGCTAAATTAAAACTTTAAAATACTGCTACAAGTATACAAGCTTATTTTCACTTGTTTAGTTTTGAAAAGTATGTGAAACAAAGTTAAGTATCTCAGCAATAAGAAAATTCATTACATCTATAGAAAATTTAAAAAAAGAAATACAAAATTTAACAAAAGACATAAAAAAAAAGGAATAAAAAATTGATAATTTCATTTACATTAATGACGTTTGTGTCCAGACTCTGGAAAGTGCTGATGTCCATGTGGATGTTTTGACCGGAGAGGGTCTGAATGTCTGCAAGAGGGGCTCCACCTAGAGGAAGCAAACGGTACTCAACATAAAAAAGAGCAACTTAAGAATGATAAACATATCAACAGACCAGATTCTTTACCTAAGTAGTTCTTTATCAAGTTGAAATAAACCGTTGCATCGCCCCGATTTGAGCTGAAAGCCGTTTTGCTCGTCTCATAGATTACTTTCTTCTGCTCAAGCGAACACGATGCCACATTCAGGGATTTGGCATTTCTAAACAGGATGCAAACAGAATAAGTAAAACATACAGTGACTTTATTTGATATTTTTTGATGAATTGTATGTACAACCGTAGATTGTCTGAAGTGATGCTTGTCAGTGTTGCTGTGTCCAACGAACACAAGTTGGAGTCTATGGCGTTGAGTTCAGTGGTGTTGAGAGCATTCCCAGGTGTGCTCAGGTACTTGGTGATCACTGCTTTGCTCTAGAAAAATAACAAAATATATGAGAAAGTTATGAGTTCAGAGTAAAGTGTGACTGGACATTAAAAGGTTATAACTCAAAAGCTAAAATTGCTATTATAGATTGGGGGAAATAATCAAACTCAGACATATTGAAGAGATAGTGTGGATAAAACCAAAAGGAAAGATTGAGAATTGCATTTTTGTGGAAATTTTAAACAACAAAACAGCCTCTGATTTGACCAATCTACTGTGACAAATTAAATGTCCTCAGTCTGAAAGAGCGGCAGATGAAAACCCACAAGATAAACATGTTTAACACAACCTAAGTAAAAAGGAATCATTAAAAAATTCATATAAATTAAATAAATTATCCTTGAAAAATGTGTGGCGGATATGATGGTTTCTGTACATTATTTGCTAAAAACTAAACTAAAGAAATAAAAAAAGTCTGGTTTCACTTTTAGTTGGTTGACTGTATGAAAGTATAATTTTGTTTCTACTCTGTGTGAAACAAAAGAATCTCTTAATCAAATGTGGACATCTGAAAATATGTAACAAACTTCTGCAGCTAATTCCGTCAAATCCTCACGTCCGTTATATAAAATAAACAGGGCCGCTATAGGAATCTTGATTATAAATAATTTATAAAACTAATTTATAAAACAGTCTCTTTCAGCAACTGACAGAGGAGGGATTTGGATACATGAAAAACATTATGCATTTTTGGCCTTTTGTCACACTTTTGTACCCTTCAGTGTGAACAAGCCTTTAAATGGTTGATTCAAAATAACAAGGAGATGTTTTTGTGTTGCGCAGTTACTTTCTCTGCCTCCCACGGCCCGTTGTCGGTGTTCATGAGGGCTGATAACGTGTCAACTTTGGTGATGTTCCATTTGGAGATGTCGAGGAGAGATGCTGTGCGAGAGGCTGAGCCCAGAACTTGCACATTCTCATCGGAAACACCAGCGGGGTAGGCCTGTCAGGGAACAGGAGGAGTTACAAGCCACATATAAGCAATGTTTTTTTGTTGTTGCCTACGTCTGGCTGGGAGACACAAAATGAACATGTTAGCACAATAGTTCCTCATCAAAATGTTGTTTTTTAGTTCCCTCCAAGAATCTAAAAAAACTTCAGGCAATAAATCTATCACTTCTCTCAAAAAGATCCAGTCATTTTCAGTTTTCCAGTCATTTTTCTGTTTTTTAAACCATATAACATAACACTTATAATAATAATAATAATTAAAGCCGCAAGCGGCGTCGAACGGCCCTCGCCGCACCGCGCAACCGAGGTGGCGCTGACGCGCCATTATCCTGCAGCCCTGATGGGAGCGACACTGTGTATTTAGAATGCCTTTGATCAGTGATTTTGTGTCTTTATTGAAAAGGTAAGACTAATTCTCCCCATGTAACACTTGAATTAGTCTGTAGGGGGCGCTATTGCTGCAATTTTGTCTTTTACAATTTCAGTTTACCCAAACCCGAGAGTTGAACAATCAATTCAAATTTAGTGCAAATCGGACTTTGTATGTGCAAATGGTGGCATTTAATGTTGTACAACAGCACCCCCTACAATTTCAATTTTTTAGTCTTATACCAAAGAACACCAAAATAATACACTTTATGCCTGAAAAAAACTTGTGGCAAAGTTTGGTGAGTTTTTGTGCATGTTCAGTGGCTCAAATATGAGATCAAACAATAGAAAACCTAAACACCTTTATTCCCATGTAAACCTTTACTCAGCCTGTAGGGGGCGCTAATGGGCCAATGTCATTGTTCACACTGTCATGTGACCTAGGCCCAGGAGTTGAACAACCGAGTCAAGTTTAGCGCAAATCAGAGTTTGTAAATGTGCTCCTGTTTGCACATAAAATATGAAAGTGTCCATAGAGTCTCCATTGGATAACATGGGACCTTCACACCTCTCTATGAAAATAACCACACTTTGGGAGTCTGTCACGCTCAGACCGTTCGACTGATTCAAATTCTATATTCAACTATTGATGGTCCATGTATTGAGACCATGTGGAGCGATTTTCAGACAAATTAGTGAAACGGCCGAGGCTGGTTTGATGTTTGAGCGAGGTGTACTTTTCAGAGATTTAACGATTTTCACATAGACACAGACAGGGGAGAGTTGATCGTCGCCACGGCAACAGGGTAAAAAATAATCATATGTTGTCATTGACTTTTTGAATCCAGATGACAAAACAGAATTATGTGCAAAATTTCAAACTTTTTGAAAAAACTAAATTTGAAAAAGGCCATGTAAAATTTTGGCATGGTCTGTAGGGGGCGCTAATGAACCAATCTCAGTTTTTACACTTTCAATTGACCTAGACCCTGGAGCTGAACAATGGATTCAAATTTTGTGCAAATCAGATTTTGTTTGTGCAAATGGGAGTAAATATACTTTTGTCAAAAATGGAAAAAAAAATGTCACATTTTGCCGCTCCGCTGGTCGGACAACCTTTCAACTGATCCAAATTCTATATTCAATAATTGATGGTACATGTGTTTAGACCATGTGGAGCGATTTTGAGACAAAACGAACGGTGAAACGGTCGAGGAGGAGATAATTTCCAACCGACATGTGTGAAAAAGATCAATTTTCATTTTTCCATTTCCCATTGAAATTAATGAGCTCCCTGTTTGTCAAGGGGCGGAGCCATACTAACTTTTTTTTCATGTCTTGACTTAAGGAACATGTGTACCGAATTTCGTGGCTCTACGGCAAACTTGACCTCCGACCCCCTCCCATAGGCGCAATGTAAACTGACTTTTGTAGGGGGCGCTGTTCGGGAATTTTTTTTGTCCCATAAAAATAAACACCAAAAAAATTAATTTTTCGCTGGTTTTGAATTTTGGGCAAAATTTCACAACTTTTCATCAATGTTCAGGGGGTCAAATTATGGTTCAAAGTGCAGAAGAAAAAATAAATAAACCAAACCAAGGATTTTTTTTTTTAAATCTGCGCCCGGAGATTGTGACTCATGACAGGCATTACTCGTTGGAAAAGCAATAGGCCCTTACCCCGGTTGGGGCTCGGGCCTAATAATAATGCATCGGTTTTATATAGCGCTTTTTTGGACACTCAAAGATGCTTGACATGTCATTATTCTTTCACTCCAAACACCGTGGTGATAAATTACTACTGTAGCCACAGCTGCCCTGGGGCACACTGACAAAAGCGAGGCAACCATGTGTATGTGTCATCGGCCCCTCCCACCACCACCAACCTAAATTAGCTGTGGCAATGTTCAAGTGAAATAACTCCTCCCTCTAATGGTAGCATAGGGAGTTACAGGTGGGAACCCGTTTAACCTTTCATAACAAAATTCAAGATATTATTTTGCTTTCAAAAGCATGGAATGACAAGTAAATAGCCTCATAATCCTTTTGAATGGCCAAATTAAAAACACAATATTTCCTCTTTAACTTACTGACAACCATTGACGTGTTTGACCAGTGATTTCTGTCAAACTTCCCTCTATTCGACTGGGGATTACAGGAGAACAAAACTAGCTAGGAACCAACATATTTTTTGTGATGAAAGTAGACAGTCCAATCTTTCAAAATCTGGTTTCATATTTAACATAGTCACAGCGCACATTATTCTGTGGGTCTTGAAAGTCAGTGAAATCATCAAAAACAGCTGGCAGTCAACGAGTTAAAAATGCAAAATCATATATTTATGTTTAAACATTGTTCCCTCATAAAAAACCTGGAGTTGTTTTTAGAAGTAAAAAAGTACAAGCGTTTGAGTAAGAGCTGTTAAATAATTGAAAAACATTATATTGATTTAGGATATTTTAAACTTTGCCCATGAAACATTTAAACTACATTATACCTTTGTCATATTCTCTACCGGTATGGAACATTTCTACAAACAAAACAGGAATTCAAAAGTGTGGCTGACCATGATGAAATAATTAATTTAGAATTTATTTTCATGTTGTGAACCACCTGCAAAGTCAATAGTCATTTTAAATTCGAAGGAGCAGAAAGAACTGGAGTTTGAATTCTAATAAAAGTAAACAGTTGACAGAAAAATAAATAGTAAAGTAAAGAAGCTACTAAGTTACTTGCCATCCCCATGAAATACTAAAGTAAGCAGTTTCATTATCGGGTTGAAGAGCCCAGAATAATGCTTAATAGTGGGGAAAACAAATGAAAATACCTCGTTCAGTTTTTTTAGGATCACCGCTTGGAAGCCGTCATCGTCGACCTTTTCACAGATGGTGCTCAGACTTTCCTTCAGCACGGAGAGGTCCAGACACAGGTCAAACTGACTCTGGTCGTACCCGAACGGGAAAGAATTATCTTGAACGGTGACTGCTGTGATGTTTCCCACGGTGCAGCCTTGTAACAAAGAAAATAGAGATACAAAAATGTTGGTAAAATATTGACTTGAAAAAGAAGAATCTAAAAGATGATTTATGATTCACCTGCTCCTCGCTTTGCTCTGTGTCCGTTGACTGATTTGAAGAATGATTTCAGTTTTCTCTTCTCTGTCTTTGACTTCCTCAGTTTTCTCATGAATCTCTTTAAAAACGTCCTTGTTTTTGTCTAAAGAAATAGGTATTAAACATAAAATTAAACACACAAAAAACATAGCAAATCAAAATCAAAAGCTTTTGATAAACCTGGAACCACAACATTTAAGGTCCTATTGGAAAATCATCTTTTAACCTTTTCAGGGCCCAATTAAATTTGAATGACAGGAAAAATCTGATATTTTAGGGAAATTATCATATGGGGTAGTTATATATAATCTTGACTTTACTGAAAGAGAGAGAGCTTCCAGGCAAATAATTCTGGGATGTTGCAGATTTGCAACATTGTCTCACTGTGGTAAATAGAGCCAGAGGAGATATAATCTTCTGATTTGCATATACTGTATCAATGTATATTAATCTTTCATTTTATGCAGTTTTGGTTTGATATTATTAGAGGTTGGTCGTGAAAGTGAGACAGCTGCGCCCCCTGGTGAGCAGGTGGAAAACTGTGAGTTGCTAAAGCTTAACTGAGTCCAGCAGTGGTACTTCTGAGTAAAAAAAGTGTCAAAAATATGAATGTGGAGTAGTTTGGTAGTAAGAGATCACATTGTTGCAAATCTGCAACGCTTGCCTGCAGAGGGTTAAGAGTCAAAATGTATTAAAACTCTAGATAAATAAAACCTAATTTTAGCAATTCTGGGCTTTTTCCCCTCCTATTTTACAGTTCTATTGAAAAGTCAACTGATATCCTTGACGTACAGTTTTGACTTGGCTCCAGATGTTCTTAGTGAAATACAGGGGCAGAGGCTCCAGGTTTTGTAGGGTTTCTTCGTCCCATGTGGACACAAGACTATAGCAGAGGACACAATATTACACACGTCAGTATTATCCTCCAGTAGACAAATGCATAGATGCACAAAGAGTCAATGATAAAAGGAGATGTACCCATAAGATGTTTTTCCAGACTGGAGCTGGGCCTCGACTGCAGCCACTTGGCTCTCGGACAAGTCTTTACAAGATTTGAGAGCTTCCAAAACGTACGGGTCGGAGTTCTGGATGTAAGAGCTGTTCATAGTGCAGAGAAGGTTCCCCATGGTCTGAATATCCTCTTTTCTCAGACTGGTATTTCTTATTTCCTAGAAAGGAAAGAGAAGGGAATAAAAGAGTCTAAATCAAAACAAGGCTTTCTTGATGTCGAGGCGTCGATGTCGAGTATATACAGAAGGACATTTTAAAAATATGGCATGAGTATGAATTATTAATTTATTACTGTTGTTCATCTGAAAATGTGAAATCAATATATGATATAGACTCTGAGTTTGGCTCAGTCCACTTTCAAAATATTCAAATTTCCTGAGATGTTTTATTTAGAGTTTTTTACAAGATATAATCACAACATGATATCAATATTAAGGCTTGATATAGCTCTCTGTTCGTGCCATGCATTAGTTTCACAAAATGTATTTGTTTTTTTACCATGTGGATTAAACAAATTTAAAAAAATCTCACTCAATATCTTTGTGTAAATATTTGATAAAATAAAAATAGACATGATGACATTTTTGAGCTACATTTTTTCAATATTACAACGTGGGTCCAAAAATTAGAGCTTGCGGCTTATAATCCGGTGCAGCTTCAATAAAGTGCACCTTTACCTCACTAACTACAGGGTACATAGACATACTGGGTCTGAGGAGTCCACCCGGGTCTAGGTGGTGTGAGGATTAAACATATAAATATGAAAAAAACATTAGTATAGAAAATGCAACACCTCCCTCTAGTGGTTCAAGTTGGGAATGAAATGCTGAGCCCAAACAATAAAGAATCAATTTACAAATACAGAAACTTTGTAGATAGAAGTCTTACCAAACAACTTATGGCTTCATTGAGTATTTTCTCTGGCTTGTTCAAAACGGGGGAGGCGACACTGAAGTCAGCCGCTCCTACCACCGAAATGTATGACCTGCAGCTGTTTCCCTGCACATCTTTGGCGCTACAGAAATCACACATAAACAAAACGATTTTTTAAAAAGTGTCAATCGTGTATAGTTGGTTGGAGAAATAGAAAAAGATGCATTCTCACTCTAAGTACAGAAGGAGGTCCGAGGGATATTCTGTAAAGGTTTGGGTGATGTCTTCTTTGATAAAGTTGTACATGCAAGTCAACTGAAAAGACATAACAAAGCATTAACATGTTTTTTTAGTTCATTTTCTTTGCAGTCTTTGGTATTTCTTACCTGGGACTCCTTTAGGAAAACTTTAGACCTGCCCTCTCTTTGTCTACAGGCACGGACAAGCTTTTTGATTTTATTTTTGGAAGCCTTGCGAACTGTTGTGCACGTGAAGCCTTGAAGAACGGATGGAGAAAGCCTTTGTGGAGAGAAATCACACTTTTCAGAATTGGGAACATTTATGATGGCTGAAAAAGTTGTGATAATAATGAGCTGCTTACTCTTCTTCATCAAAATCTGACGTGGACACTGATTCGAAAAACATGGGCGCCTGCAAAAGTACAGAGAAGATTAATCGGCTGTATAACCGACTTCGTGATAATAATTTCAAAAGTGGCTGTTGTGGCGCACCTGTTCAGACGTCCAGGTCTTCTTATTGATTTGGTTGATGTCCACGGTTCCAGATGTAAACAAGAGCATGGACAATGGGATTTTAGTGGCCAATTCATTAGGAACGTTCTCCACCACGTTGGCTGGTGATGAATCCACGGAGATGATCTAGAGACAGGATTCATTCCCATTTAGACATATATATGAGAGTCTTGTGCTTTGTGTGTGGAATCACTTTAGTACCTTTCGGACAAAAACTTCCTTGACGACTGGAGACGCGATGAGCATGTTGTTTATGAATGCAGGGTTCCCGGAGATACTGAGCAACTCCGACGAAGGAATGTTTAGTATTGCTCCAGAGGAGATACCGACGATGAGGGTTCCCAGTGAGCTCAGAGAGGATCCAGTTTTTATCTGTTTCAAATGAGCAAAGAAAAAACGTAAGTATTCACTGAAGCACTTTGTTCATACTAGTAGCATCTTCTTTTTTCAACGTTTTTCAAAACACTCAAGTTTGTCCAATGTCACACGGGCGGCTTTGAAGTCTTGTTTCATCATCACAAGATAAGTAATCAGGTAAGTATTGCTTATTTACATAGCACATGTTACAGACCAAGGTCAACCGAAGCGCTTTACATTTATTGAGAGTTCAGATATTTTTCCATTCTCTCCACACTGTGATGTCAGAAGAGCCCTGACCAAAATCATCCATTCACTCATTCGTTGCATTCAAACAAAATTCATACTGAACATGTTTTTAGTGGCAGGGGAAACAGGAGCACCCCGAGGAAACCTACGTGCCGCACATAATAGAAGTGATTAACCATGTTTCTATATAAACACTTCGCCACATTTCAAAGTTAATTATTACAGGTGTAAAGTGGTTATCCATGCTTCTATGCTCAGAAATACAAGCCTGGAATGGTTTTCTGTTCATTCCAGGCTTAATTCCTTTTTTTTTTATTAGTGTATTTGACAGGAACATTGTGCACTAATTTCTGTAAATGAACCAGAATTAGCCACGAAGGCTACAGTTCCTAATACATATGTTAATACTAACTCTAACAGTAATGATATTCACCATTTCCTAAATCATACCAGTTTTTGAGCAAACATGCATTTAATAACAAGAAGGTAAGTGTTTACCTGATGCATGACTTCAATGTGTTTATAATCATTCATATTATTTTACTTTTCACACTTTTGCCAGCTCTGTTTCCCAAAGACCAGAACACACACCTGAAAGCCGGACGCAAACATGGCCTTGATGACCGCCCCGGCCTGCTCTTGGTTCCAGCTGCTGACAGACCCCAGAGTGCCCAGGGACGAGATGAGCACGTGGCCCGGGACGGAGGAGATCTGTGTGGTGGTCAGGCCTCCACTCGCACTGCCCAGGCTGCTGAATGTCTCCGCTGAGAAGCTCTTCAGGTTGGATACAAGAGCTGTGTTCACCTGGATACACAAAAATATGTTGCTTATTCATTACTTTTAGTTTAGTTTAGTTTAGTTAGAATCATCTTAGAATCAATCTCCGCTAATTATTAATTTTTAGCTTTGTGAGTGTCCTCAGTTTATTATCAGTTCAATGAATTCTATTGCTTTTAGCAATCCATTTCCTTAAGTTCTTTTATATGAAGTACTTTGGAAATTGTTCAAAAGGGTGATATACCAATAGAGGATTATATATATTATTGTCAACATCTTGTTCCTGATTGGACACTTTATCCAGTCTATTTTTAAATCCCCCAACGATAGCAACCTCCATTATTGTTATTATCATTATTATAATTACCTCTGGATCTTCTGTTCCATTGCAGAATTCTTTAAGACGTTGTAAAATCCTCAAGGTCTCTGTTTCGTTTAGGGACTCAAATGCTGGTGTTGGAATGTCAGGTGAGCACAGTAGAACATCTGGAAGCCTGGACATCAACAAGTTTGTCAATAGTTTTTTCTATAGCTTTGACTTTGCTTTGACTTTGCCGGTCTTGTGAACTTACGTGATCGGACTGGATGTTGGGTTGCGCTCAAATAAAATGCCCACAAAGACGTTTCTCACATCCTCTGATATGGCTGGGTTGTTGAACAGCTCAACATTGGCACGGTCCTTGTAGATTGATCCACCCTTCATTAAAGAAGAAAGTCAGCAATGTTTTCTGAAAATTACCATCCTGTTGGTGAACCGTGCCAGGTCGATCGATAAGTCAACTAAAAACCAAGTAGCTAGTAAGGAGAACTGGAGATTTGAGGAGAGTGAGGAGAGGAGGGCAAGGAGAGAGGAGGGTGAGGAGAGAGAGAAGAGGAGGACAAGGAGAGTGAGGAGAGGAGGATGATGAGACCAGAGAGGAGAGCAGAGAGGAGAGCAGAGAGAGGAGGGCAACGTGACTTCTCAGTTTTTTTTAAACACTGCTCTTCTCTTTTTGAACCTGTAAATACATGTCATTGTTTATGGAAATCTAACGTTTTATCCTGATGTGTGTATGTGGGCGTGGCTCGGCCTCTATGTCCAAAATAGGGCATACATTTCAAACGTTGAGTACACTATGCGACTGAATGAAATTGAATAAAATAATAATAAAAAAAATAAAGAACACATCTCTCATTTACTCCAATTACTTTTTGTTTGAGAAATCCCTGTGGTTTAAATGTAATGTATTCCACTAATACCCATTTTAGCCGACTACGACACACACAGACGGACAGCCCTAATATCGACCAAGCTACTCACTTCACCAGATGGAATGAAGGCGTTGAGATCCTCCACGGTGACGAGCATGACAAAGGCACCGATGTTCTCTACAAACCAGGAATTTGAGTTCAGTCCTGGGGTGCTGGCGTTGTAACACTTGATTCCAGATTCTAAAAGCACAACAAGAATGAAATGTATTTATTGAACTTCATAGCGTTCTATTCTACAGTCTATCCTCTTACCAGGGACTAAGTAGGTTTTCATGCTGTTGTAGAAATCTTCTCTGACGAACTCTGTGCTGTTGTAGGTGAAGTTATTCCCCATCACAGCGACCCTATGAAGTGCATTTGAGTCAGAAACAGTGTTGGAAGATGAATAGTAGCTTAACCAGACAATTTTGCATGATATATCTCATGATATAAAGAACACAACATAAAACAACCCCAAACAGAAAAAAATTACATAAAAACAAGACAACAAAAAATAAAATAATAATAATATAAAAATAAAAAATAAAAATAAACCTAAAAGATAAAAATAAACCTGAAAGATCAAATAAACCTAAAAAAATAGAAAATAAACAATAATAAAAATTAAAAATAAACATAAGAAATAGAACATTCAAATTACAAATAAAAAACAACATTAAAATAGTTTTTGAAAAAAACCATTAAAAATAGTAGAAAAAAATATATATATTGATAAAAGATATTACTAAACATACGTGTGCCTACTAATATTTTTACCTCTGCAAAAAACTACATCTCCATTCCACAGTTTTTTGTTATGTTTTTAGGGTGAATATTTCTACTGAGGGACTTACAGTTTTTGGAAGCTGAAGCAGGTTGCGTTCTTCACTTGAGAGGAGCTGATGAGATTCTTGTTAAGGAAACGCAAGTAATTTTTAAGTCGTAGGTCAAACCAGAGAGCAGCTTCGGATTGGCTCTCGCTGCTCAGAGCCATGGGCCAAACACAAGGCAGTGTCTTCAATCGGACATCATCAGGAACATCCTCCTGTGCATGAAAATAGTCAATATAAAATAGTCATACAGCAGAAACATTTTTTACAAACACCTACCCTTTCTAAGAACGCGGGTGTCTGGTTGTAATTATTATAGAAGTCACAAATATCAAAGTCGCCGATCACATTAGGCTGACTGAAGAACTGACCAACTTCGGATGTAGTGACTGTAGCTAGTAGCTGTAGGGAAAGTCAATCAATAATTCTATCTTTGGCAGACCTGTTAAACGTCTTTCTTACCTCTGCCTTGCGTTCTGTTGGCAGCAAAGACATAAACATTGGCACATCTGGAAAGCCAAAGCTGAGGAAAGTGTTTTTCAGAAAGCCATAGAAGCTCCCTCTCTCATAACATCTGATGGGAGTTGGTTCTGCTTAAAAAATAAAGTGAACGAATAAGAATATTAATATTTCACAACCCTTGTTTCTGACTGTAAATGTACAAACCCTGGAGATGAAGATAGATGTTTTCATAGATTTTCTGTTGCGTGATTTGACTCAGTGTTAAGCTTATAGAGTCCAGCAATGAATACCTGAAATGCAATTGTGTATACGTTGGCAATGTCATAACTGTATTTGTGAATAGTCAAAAAAATAATACACAGGAAAAAAATGATCTTACATGTATTGGCTGATATTACAAGACCGGCTTTGAACAGTATCGAACAGAGGTGTGACCAGGGTGGATGAGAGATTCACAAGAAGAGGATTCAGACGATCGTTGAGCCATAACAAATAGTCCGGGTCGCTGACGGATGGAGAGGATAGATTGGCTTTGTCTAATGCTGTTTGGAGCAGGGAAGATGTAACCTCTTCTGTGTAGTTGCCTTGGTGCATCTAAAGAGCATATAACAGCGTCATTCAATTGATAAAAAAAAATTATATTACAAATACTCGTTACTCATTAGCCCATAGCTTTGAGTTACAAATCAAGTGTTTGTTCAGCATTCAATTGATAAAGAGGCAATGGATAAAGTGTAAATAATGGAATTTCCAGCAATGGATAAAGCGTAAGAAAAGGAATGCATGGGCGTACACAAAAAATGATCTAATTACAGAAACTAATTATTTGTAACATACACCCAACACTAAATAGCAAATTCTAGGCTAAATTTGCTTACCCTAGGCTACATCTTAAAAAATACGTAGACCTCAGACTTTTTAGGTGGATATTGCTTAAAGTTACCTGAATGGCTGGTGACACAGTATCGAAGAAGATACCCAAATCTTCAGGGCTGATTCCAGTCATTACTTTTGTGACGTCTTCTCTTGTTTGCAGTTGTGACGGGGTGGCAGCGAGCTCAGCAATCTGACTGAAAGTGAGAAGATCTAAAACCTCCACCTGAAAGATAAAGACAAGGTTTGAACTCTTTGATACAAAAGGGAACCGAAAAGAACGTAATACATACTCCTTTCAAATCTTCCTTAAACGTCAACATTTCTCTGTAAGAGGCATGTGTCCTGAATTGACCAAGGTTCTTCCCAATCCAATCTCTGTCATCATTAACTGAATCCACACATGATGAGCCTACAACATACAACACATTATTGCTGTTTCCTAGGACACACTAATTGTGAGGTCTCATTACCAGAAGAAGGTCTTGATAGATAATCTCTTGTGAAGGTGTAAACATATTGTGTCTGTGACTCAGAAAGCTGAACAAAAACCTTGTCACATCCTTTTACGCTAAAAAGACACAAAAAGAAAACGTAGCACGGTAAATGGATTTGTAGAATTCATATGTTTCACCCTACGGCGGGTTAGGGTTAGGGTTACTTACATGTGTTGGTAAGAATCACAACTGATATCTCGAGGAATAACTTCAAATGTGTTTGCGTTTATACTTGGGAGAAACAATGTTAGATAAACTTGGAACCAAAGCCTGACGTCTTCAGATTGTAGAAGTGGAAGTTGTGGGCCAAGAAAGTTTATTGTGCTGTTGAACATGGAGTCCCTGATGCCTGGCTCAATTAAAGATAGATTTTGCTAGAAAATGATTGCAAAAGTAGAATTTAAGTTAGAATGTGGTTCAAGACATGGTGGATAATATTTTTTTTTAAAGTTCAGACCTTCAGATTAGAAGCTACTGAACATAAGTACTGCGCAGTATATAAGGAAAAACACTCACCTGTGAAGCACCAGTGACAAATTTATTATAGAATGACGAAATTTTTTGTGTGTCTGGTGACTGGGTTAGTGTTTTGAAGATATCTGTGACATAGGTCTCATTTGACAGATTAGTTGGTTCAAGAAGAAAATCTGCCTGTTGTTCTGCAGACAAATCCCCAATTCTCACCTAAAAAAGTATAGATAAGTCAATGATATTTATAATACTTTATAAACTTGTGAGAGTAATGCGTACTCACATCTGTAAGATTTAGACTCTGAATTTCTGTGTAGGTCAAGTGCTCAATAAATGTGCCCAGGTTTAGTTTTAGCCGTTCAGAATCCGTCTTAATGCCCTGGTTGCAGGCTATGAAAAAAGTAAATATATGATATTAGCATCTCTTTATACATGATGTAACATATCCATTCAAGCCAGACTATGGAGTACAACATGATCAATGAACTCCCATTCCTTACCGGGTTGTGTGACCATGTTTGTAACGTTCTTGATGTATTTGAACATGCCACGTGCGAGTCCTCGCTGTGCTTGCTCAGGCATATCTCGGGAAGCCTTGCTCAGTCCTTTGACACTGCACAAGGTAAAGAAGATGGGACATACTCAGCACATTTTCTAGGTGCACATGGACACTTTTGTGTTGCCGCTTGCATGGATGACACTTACACAATACGATAGTTTGTACAGTTTAGGTGGTCTTGAGCTGCTGTGAACATCTGTGGTTTGAAACTTGAAAGGACAGGCTCCAGTTGGTAAAGGAACCAGTGTTTCCACTGTGACGTTGTAAAGTCATTGAAAGCGATGCTGATGATGGCAAATGTTCGATTCATAGCGACATCTCGGGCTTCAGGTTCAAAAGCAGGCGACTGTCAAAGTAAACATACAATGACATTTAGAAAATTGCCACATTATTGATTGCATCATTGAACGCCACACTTTTTGCCAATATTGCAGAGCACAGCCTACCCCTTCTCCCGCCTGTAGTTCTTGATAAAACTGGTTGACATTTTCAAAGCTATTTCCTTCTTCAAGTTGTTGAAATACCGAGGCAATTGCATTTGTGTCATTAAAGAATCCCTCACTCAGAGTCAGCTGTGCTATCTGAGCAGGGGTCAGGCCAGTCAACGTTTCCTGCAATGAAGAGACCAGCGATGATTCAAAGAAGAACGACAGTTTAAACAATGGCATTTTCTTCTGGCTAAATTGCTGTTTCTTTTTAATTCAATATTTACAGTGGAAATGTTTGGGTTGAGTTGTTTCAATTCAGCCAAAGTAGCAAATTCAGAAAAGCGGCCCAAGTTGTCCTCCAACCAACGCTTGGTGTCTGGAGATGAGGAGCGGCAGCCGGGATCTGTGAAGAAAGATGTACGTGAGAATGTCGGCCTGTACGTCTTTTGACCCAACTTGTCTTTCGACAATCGAAAGAATTGCTTTGATCATCATCCTTTACCAGATGGATTATTCCTTAAAAGGAATGGGTTGATTAGATGAGTGAAAACTGCTTCCGCTGATTGTTGCCCCATTGACGTCTTTTGGCCATCCAGGGTTCGGATGCTGGATAACATGAGAAGTTTGGAGTCAATGAGAATAATGTTTCAATGTCTTATCAACGCTTCTATAATATTAACATTGTTTCACGAGTTTCTGGCTTACATGGCCTGGAAGCTGGAGCAACTGAAGTTGTTTGCGCTCAGACAAAAGAGGACGTTTTGGGATGGCATGGCTAAAAATGGGCGGATCTTTGTTTGGAACCACTTTCCAATAAAGCTCTGATTTTGGAGCTGTGCAGGGTCAAAGTCTGAGATTCGTAGCTCTACAATTGCTTCAAGAGCGGATGACAACGATGGAAAGCTTGTGTTGCCAACCTGCAGAAAACAAGGCGTCGAGTAAAAACAGTGCCATTGCACAGTGAGATGCTTCTTATGTGAAGCAAGTAAAAAAGTGTTACCATTGTAGAGAACATCTCAAGAGCTGCATCCAGCACTGGTGAAGCTTTGCTGAAGAGAAGCTTCCAGACGGCCGGGTTTTCTTTGGTACCATTCCTTGAGCAGTTCAGAAGCATGGCTACGTTTCTGGCTGTGATGTTTGTCGCCTAAAATATTGTGGGGGGGACGCAAGGTTAAGAGGTTTGCCATGTTTACCCATCGTTTTGTAACAGTTTTACGTCAGGTATTCTTACAGATGAACAGGCGTGCTCAATGACTGTGTAGCCGCATGTGGCCTCTGCAGAGGCGTCTGTCGAATGGGTTTGTTCCACTTGTGAGCTAAAAAAGGCATATATTGTCAACTCATTATGCATATGATGTTTGAAGCTGTCCTAAATGGCTAAAGTAACCGGAAATGGCTTACCTATCCACTTCAGCACAAATCAAGGTTTCTAAGGAAAAGATGAAAAACATGAATTATATCATTATATCAGAAAGAAGAGGCCTATCAATCTCGGCCTCTGTTGTCTGAATGGTCTCCTTTATTAAACTTACCATCACGTAGCAGTACTTTGCACTATCGGAAACAAAAAAAAACATGAATTACAGCCAGAGTAAAACAAAGCATTTATAAACCTTACAAGCCAAAGACTCAAAAGGAAGTAACGTTCACGGCATTAGAACAGTCAATGTTTTTTGTAAATGAAACAAACTCACCTCAAATGAAGCTGGAATTGAACAACCTGCATAGGCATAGAATTCAGAGAAGCAGTGTCATTACAGCAGTCAAAGAATTATTTTTGGTGGTACTGGGACTCTGGATTGTTGAACTTTGTACTCACGGGGGAATCTGGTCCTTAGAGATTTGATGGTGGATTCCACACTGGCTGAATCAGTCAGAGGCGCAGAGGTGTAACTTTTCTCAAAGGCAGAGTCGCTGAGGGTATGAGATAGCAAAGCTTGAGCATCAGTTTTACTTAATTCGAAATAAACCTTTGAGCGTGTTTGATTCAAAAACACTGCCACTTACATGGCTTCATATGAATCACAGCTGATGTTATCAGGAATGGCCTGCACGTATTCCACTTTGAAGCTCAGGATCAGTGTCAACAAGTTGGAACCGAACCACTCTTCATAGTCTTGGGTGTCAAACTCCACGAGGTATTCAACAAGCACAGTCCAAGTCTGATTTAAAATGGTGTCTCTGACATTTTCATTTTGGATGTAAGTGATGTTTCTCTGGAAGCAACACATTTGTTTGAATAGTTAAACAAAATGTTTTGGCCATTTCATACATGACTGCTGTTGTCTCTTAGATCATTTTGTTTACCTGCTTTGTGATGTTTGAAAAGATTCTAAAGAAGTGACCTAGTTCTTCGGGAGAGCGTGTGTAGTTTTCCAGCACTTTACTGACTACGGCCTCTTCCTCCAAATTGCCGCTTTCTAGTTCAAGAAGAAGATCCGCCTGTTGATTTGGTGAGAGAGAGTCCGCAATATGCACCTGGTGGTACAAACAACAACAGATGTTTGAAAAGTGTTTTTTGGAAAGGACTAGCTACTGTATGTACATTGTTCCAGGTTTATACAATACCTGAGAGAGATTGAAGGATCTAATGTCAGAGTAGGTTAGATGCTCTGTGAATGAGCCAAGGTTTTCTTGCAGCCATTCCCCGTCCGTTTCATTGACACGCTTGCATTCTAGGATGTATTGAGTTCTTATTAGCATGGCAATATTGGCTTGAGCATTTTTACATAATGCCACGCACATATCCATTCAAGCCAGACTATGGAGTACAACATGATCAATGAACTCCCATTCCTTACCGGGTTGTGTGACCATGTTTGTAACGTTCTTGATGTATTTGAACATGCCACGTGCGAGTCCTCGCTGTGCTTGCTCAGGCATATCTCGGGAAGCCTTGCTCAGTCCTTTGACACTGCACAAGGTAAAGAAGATGGGACATACTCAGCACATTTTCTAGGTGCACATGGACACTTTTGTGTTGCCGCTTGCATGGATGACACTTACACAATACGATAGTTTGTACAGTTTAGGTGGTCTTGAGCTGCTGTGAACATCTGTGGTTTGAAACTTGAAAGGACAGGCTCCAGTTGGTAAAGGAACCAGTGTTTCCACTGTGACGTTGTAAAGTCATTGAAAGCGATGCTGATGATGGCAAATGTTCGATTCATAGCGACATCTCGGGCTTCAGGTTCAAAAGCAGGCGACTGTCAAAGTAAACATACAATGACATTTAGAAAATTGCCACATTATTGATTGCAATCATTGAACGCCACACTTTTTGCCAATATTGCAGAGCACAGCCTACCCCTTCTCCCGCCTGTAGTTCTTGATAAAACTGGTTGACATTTTCAAAGCTATTTCCTTCTTCAAGTTGTTGAAATACCGAGGCAATTGCATTTGTGTCATTAAAGAATCCCTCACTCAGAGTCAGCTGTGCTATCTGAGCAGGGGTCAGGCCAGTCAACGTTTTCTGCAATGAAGAGACCAGCGATGATTCAAAGAAGAACGACAGTTTAAACAATGGCATTTTCTTCTGGCTAAATTGCTGTTTCTTTTTAATTCAATATTTACAGTGGAAATGTTTGGGTTGAGTTGTTTCAATTCAGCCAAAGTAGTAGCAAATTCAGAAAAGCGGCCCAAGTTGTCCTCCAACCAACGCTTGGTGTCTGGAGATGAGGAGCGGCAGCCGGGATCTGTGAAGAAAGATGTACGTGAGAATGTCGGCCTGTACGTCTTTTGACCCAACTTGTCTTTCGACAATCGAAAGAATTGCTTTGATCATCATCCTTTACCAGATGGATTATTCCTTAAAAGGAATGGGTTGATTAGATGAGTGAAAACTGCTTCCGCTGATTGTTGCCCCATTGACGTCTTTTGGCCATCCAGGGTTCGGATGCTGGATAACATGAGAAGTTTGGAGTCAATGAGAATAATGTTTCAATGTCTTATCAACGCTTCTATAATATTAACATTGTTTCACGAGTTTCTGGCTTACATGGCCTGGAAGCTGGAGCAACTGAAGTTGTTTGCGCTCAGACAAAAGAGGACGTTTTGGGATGGCATGGCTAAAAATGGGCGGATCTTTGTTTGGAACCACTTTCCAATAAAGCTCTGATTTTGGAGCTGTGCAGGGTCAAAGTCTGAGATTCGTAGCTCTACAATTGCTTCAAGAGCGGATGACAACAATTGTAAGCTTGTTGTTTCCAACCTGCAGTAAGCAAGAGCCTTGGACTGTTATGGTCTCCATCACAGCTCTCTTGGAGGGAAAGGATCTAATGTTCTAATGCAATGCATCCCAAAGTGCTCCCAAAGGTTATCTACATCTATAAATTACATTTGTAAGTATTGAATTGTCCCTTATACATTAATATATTATTCTCCAATAAAATACACAATTTGAGTTTACATCATTTAGTAATTGGTTTACTTTTGACATTTTGTTTTCATTTTACATTCTGTCTTGTCCCTTTTGAACCAGTAAGTTTAGACCATTAATAAGACCGCCATTATGTGCCTGCTCAGATCAGACAACAGCAGTTCAAGTTTATAACTTTGAACGAAGCCATGAGAAGTCCATATGTTTTTGAGTTATCGTTTGTGCGCATGTTTTTTTGGGGATGTGTTATATTGTAACAAAAGAAATGCAATAACATTCTTGGCAATAATTGTCATCCTAAATTAAATTAATTTAACATTTCTTCACACAAGCATTTAGATGTTTAAAAACCTCCATACTTACATAGATTGGAAAGAACTACAGCTGAATTTTTTACTGCTGAGTTTTTCCCAAAACAGATCATCGACCAATGGCAAGAGGGGAACCACTCTGACGGAGAACCACAGCCGGACAAAGCTTTCGTCACCTAGATCTTCCAGTTTTAGGTCATCCAAGACATTGAACGGGTCCAAAGTTTTTGAGGTAGTCCCCTGAAAGGAAAATAAAGAATTCCATATTTTTAGAAAATGTACTTTGTACTTTAAAGGTATAGGGTAAGATTTTCCCAAATGTCAGAAAAGAACTGCACTCCCCACTCTTTGAACAGAACTCTCTGGTCTTATTTGACGAGCACGTATCACCAGAATGATTGACAACTGGGAGGACCAATAGTCTTGATGAAGTGGAAAATCAGAGCATAGTCAGAGCAGCTCTGACTATTTGTTTTACAAAACAGAATACAAAATCCAATATTCATTCCGGTTTCGCCCTTTTTTCCTCATATGATTTTAGTTCCTGATTGTAATTTAGGGGAGTAAATTATGCCAAATTAAACATTATGTAAATGTCTCACTCAAGATGTCATCAGTTTGGAACATTGGTCTACCTTTGAAAATCTTCATAAACAGAATGATAGTGTAATCAACTTTAGAAGTCGTTGTACAGACACTCTGTGTGTGTGTATGTGTGTCTGTGTGTGTGTGTGCGCATTTACCAGCTCAACAATCACTTTCAGGGTTGATTCCATGATTTGCTTGAGATGCTCTTCCACAAATCTGGTCTTGTTTCCTTGTAAACTGGAGTCATTGCGGCTGCAGTGAAGTTGTCTTGTTAGTGCAGCAACAGCAGCTGATATCTAGTGACAAAAAGTTGAAAAACACATGGTATACCACAAGAGGGGTCTTTTACCACACACATTATTTTGTCATATGTACCTGGTGAGTCTCATTTTGTGGATTTGGTTTCTGGCAGGTTTCTTGCAGAGTATGTTTTTCTCTAGATATACAAACAAAAGCAATTATATACATACATATATACATGTGACAAACTATCTTGACCAATCAAGCTGCATTATATTATCTTGTTTTTATTTTTTTTAAACTTGTGTTGTTTAAGATAAATACACAATACAAAAATCAACCACACCAAACATTCATTTTCAAATACAATTCGAGCCTGTCTGTAGGGTCTTGAAAAGTAAAGAATGTTAGACATTCTATAAATATTTTTTTAAGTGAAAATTTTGTTTGACAATGAATTTTAATATTAGCATTATCTTTGAAAATGTCACACTATTTAACATCAGCTATGTATATTGGGGCATTTGCATTAACTGTTTATGTGTGTTCAAATCCAGATAATGCATGTCTACTTATATCCAAACGGAATGCAGGTGTAAGCCTGAGTTCGTCTGATTCTATAGTGTGGAATGTCCAGGTATCATCACCAGTACATGCCACTTCCATCTTATTATCTGTAAACATGTGTCTGCTGTGATTACCAATATTTTACATACTGCTTTAATGGGAAGAGAATCAAATCTCACAAATCAATGGCACAATATTTTACAAACTCCTCATCTGGCATTTTACACATGGGGGTTATACTGTCTGCACATGATCTACAAAAGTGGGTCCTCAAAATCCATAAAAAAGACCTATAATAAGTGTATTGGTGTGCGATGCAGCTGCCAATTATAGTGAAAGATCCCAATTTTACATTTTGCATGAATAGTTCCACTTAATAGACTAAATCTATCTTGTGAATTTTCCCATATTATTAACTATAAACGTACACTAACCGATTATATTTAGGATAACAATAAGAATCTGTGTTATATAGCGCTCTTTCATGAACACGGTCAATGCTTCACATGGCAGTATTTCTGCCCTCCATTATGTGCGCATTGGTAATACTTTCAGCCCATGGTTCCAATGAGTCATTACTTTACCCAACACACATTTATACTGAATATAGTCCATGATACTGACCCAGGTTCTGTATGAGGTCCTGGTCCTACAAAACAACAAACACATTGATTATTTTTCTTATCAAATAGGCCTATTTTAAAAACATAAAAAAAATAAAAATATTTTACCTCTTGTGGTGTTTGCCTAAATAAAGATAATAATGACAAAAACAACAACAGAATAAGTTACAAAATGACCGATATTGAAACAAATCTTAAAACACAATCATTTGGAAGTGAGGGAATAACTTACAGAAGCAGAGACCACAGTCACGAGACAAACTATATCAAAAGTAAAATAAAATTCAGTATTTGAATATTTATTTTTTATTTGTCAATTTGAAAGTTAAAAACACTTACCTAGCCAGACAGGATTTAGCCTTAGGACTGTCGGAGTCCTGCAGCCCTCCATGCTGAGCAACCTGTCAGCTTATTGAGCTTTATGGTGGTCTTTACAGCAATATTTTCTCTTTTTGTAGAATATCTATTTAAAATATAAACTGCAAATGATATTACAAAGTGATTATACAGTTGAGGAAAAACATGGAGTCTCTATGAATGTATGCTATATTTCCAATTCATATTGTTGTACACTATTCCATTCTGATGCAGAGTTAGGTTTAAATGATTTTGTCTAGTCCAACACATTTAAATGTACGGTTATATGATAGTGTGTGTGTTTCTGTATGAGCTGGCTCACCTGTGTGTCCTTCTCCTCCTCAGTGAAAAGTGACAGCAGCAGGTTCACATCAGGCAGATAGAGTTTGGGTGGAGCACAGGATGTCGTCAAATCTCAAAAATGTTCTGTGCATTTGAGCTCGCGCCAATAACTCTCCATTACACACTTACTTACTTATATATGTTTTGTTGGTCTTCTACACTAATCAAATGGTGAAAACTAGTAACTACATAATTAAAATTACATACATTTTGGTCATTATAGTGCATTAGCATTCCCCATTTTTGGGTCACAGGTACACATTGTTTTTTACAGGACTAAGATGCATAATAAATGTAACTATACTGTGGGTGGCATTTTCACAGACCTTCCTCTCCACATAGTTAAACCTGCCATAACAGAATCAAATACATGAATCTTTGGTTCTATTTATATGTTTTTATTTCCAATTGAAAATCCATGAACATGGGACACAAACAGAAAGATACATTTTGATATAACCCTCTTGCAGTGAAAGCTTTAATCAGCACAACAGTGAAACTTCCATCGAACTTTCTGAACATCCGAGTCTAAAGATATAAAAAGAATGTGTTCATTCTGATATTGCTATTTTTTAAGAAATGTGTCTTTAAAATACATGAGCTGCATCACTTTATTAGTGATATACTAATAATATTTATCATTATGACTATTATTGTAAAGTTATTATTAGGATAACTTAACTTTCCCTTTTACAGCAGACAGAGACCTTCCAAGTTATACTGGTTATATAATATATAATTATAATAATGTCAGTAATAATGTTGAAATAGTTGCTCTTTTAGCAATATCATCCTATTAGTATAAGTTCACAATGAACATTGTCTTTGGATAAGACAACTGTGGAATCAAAATGACGCAGGCGACTGAGCCACGCCTGGATTTTCAACATAACACGAGCAACTATAATATGTTATGTGTATTTCCAGTTTTCCAGTTTTTTGTGTGAATAGCTTTAATAGGATTATCATGCGATAGTTACTTACTGCATATTCTTAGTGAAGTGAAACACTTGACAATTACGAGAACAAAATATGTCATTGTAATATTTGTTCTTGTTTGTAAATGTAAACATTGCATTTAAAGCTACTCAAATACATACATAAACATGGCTTATCTTTGATTCTTATGGTTTTCTAAACTACTGCCAGTAAATCAAACATTCTTTGACATCCTACTCTTGCGCTATAAAAAAAAAAAACAAAAAACATTTGTTTTATTGATCAAATAAGGAAATATGCCGTGTACCAGATTACAGTAAAACGCTCATTCTGACCTGTACTGGTCATGTTATGGAAACTGAAACTATAAACACATGGATAGTAAACCATAATGGTTAACATATTACTTACATCAAATGTATTATATTTATAATAATCTACCCTTTAATCACAACAACCATTCTGCACAAACACACTTCCCAAGCACACAAATAAATTGACATTAAACCTAAATAAAACAAAAATAATGACGTTTCGTTACACAAAAACATGTCCAATGTCCTAAACATTTGCATGGATGGAGTCCAAATTGAAAATTGCTAGGAATAATAATGGACAACAGCCTGATACTCAGACACCACGCTCATTGTATTGCTCATTACTGTGTCAAAGTGTCGGGGAACATTTACCAAAGCACAATAAAACCTTTCATTATTATTTCAAAAACGAGCTGAGCACAAAGCAAGTTACCTACAACACACTCATGGACTTTTACTTCATCTAAATCAGTGAAGTTTCCTGACCTTGTAAAGCTCTACACATCGATGGCACTAATTAAAACATTTAATCAATTGTTACCAAGAAACATACAACAATAAATTATTCTTAAAGAAAAAAACATATAATCTAAGAAGTCTTGGAAACTTTGCCGGAATAATTGTTTAATAATTATGTGTTATCATTGCTTTGTTTTTAACCATTTGTATTGCACAAGTATAACCTAAAGGTGCGAGTGCTTTATATAAAACATGTTTATATTCTTACACTCCTTGCTGCAGTAATGTAGATGTGTTCTGTTCTGGGAAGGTCAAACTCTTCGAAAAGCAGGTGGCTTCAAACAAAAGTTGCTTGTTCTAGGGAAGGTCACTCTTTCCGAGAAGCAGTGACTCATCAACTGTGCATCTTAATTCGGCACGGTGGATAGCACTCTTGCCTCTCAGCAAGAAGGTCCTGGGTTCCAATCCCGGTCGAAACAGGGCCTTTCTGCGGTTTCCCCTACCACTAAACACATGTCCAATAGGTCTGGTATGCGCCTCCTGTACTGGTGACCCCGCTCCCATCTCTGTGTGGAGTGAGACACAAAGGCCCAAAAATAACAATTGTAAACTTCTTTGTGACTCTGGTCTGTGAAAGGCGGTATATAAATAAAGATTACTTACTTCATCTTTTTAGTAACAAAAGTAACATTCAATGTTTTTCCACAAGTCAGCCCTTTTTGTTTCCCCCCTCCCTTTAGGGCTGACCTTGTGCCTGTAACTAGGGGCGGGAAAACTTAATAAAAGGAGTGTGAAGCGACAGAGAACCCAGAAGCTGCAGGAATCACATTGATTACAGACTAGATTGTACCTGGGTCTTGATCTCTGTGACGGCTTCTCACTTGCAAGTAAATAAGGTTACGCGCTTTGTCTTTTCTTCCTTTTATGCAGAATTGTTGGTGAAACTAGCCCCAATAAACTTCCAACTCCCACAAATTTGATCTATTTAAAAGTAAAAGTAAAAGTTTCTGTGTGACTGTATGTGGCTGAAATTGTGGAATGTTCTGGATCTCCGACTAAAACAATGCCAAGACAGTCACAGATTTAAGTCACTATAAAAAGCAGTGTTTGGTCTGACTACAAAGGGAATAATGGCCCCTGTTTCATTACCATTGCTGGATCATGTCCTTACCATTGTTAGTATTTGCTGTCCTTTATCATTGCTGGTATCTCCCTCATGCAGCTGTTTTGCATCCTTGTAAAATGTATCTTGACTGTATGTCTTTAAACCCATTCATTGTTACTTTAAAACATGAACAGTTGATATAAATGTGCCAAATAGGAAGCTCAATGAGTAATATGTTAGAAGAAACCACGGGTGGGATTAAATATATTTTTTTCTTCCAGTATCTGCATTCTTGTGTATATAATTTTTATTTTGTATGATGTAAATGTAACTCAGGGTTATTTATGCAACATTTTGATATTCTACTTTTGTTTCTTGTACACATACTTCCTCGAAATAAACATGGCTTAATAATACACACACATACCTGCGTCTGTACATGCAGCAGTATACAATGTGTTTAGTGATTATTTGGATCCTGTTTCTTTCTTTCTTTTGTTTTGCATTATAATTTAATACATACATATAAGACATTACTATAAAGTCACGTACACTTGTTCTGCCTCTCATGTAATAACAACATGGGTGTTTCCTTTGACAAGATGACAGTGAGTGTTCAAGCTGCACTCCAACGAAGAATGTCTTTCTCTTCACATCGAATTCACTCGATTGTGCAACATATGGATCGCTTGCAAACTTGTGAGAGAAATTAATAACAATCATAATCATACCATCTCCCTCCCACTCCTTTTTGAGTCAAATACAATAGGTGTAAATAAGTAATTGATGAAGTTATTGTAGGAAATTCACAAATGCACGCCTGTCCCTTTTGGCCCCCAGGAGCTTTATGAGCTCACCATGAGAAGACAGACCATCAGCATCCTCTCTGATCCTTCACATTAACTTTTCCCTGAATATGAGCTTTTGAACTCTGGGAGGAGGTACAGAGTGCCTCGGTGCCGGCTCAAGCGCTGTAAGAACCCATTCATACCTGTTTCAGTGAATGTGTTAAATATGGACATGAGGAGGTGATGTGTGTGTGTACTGTATATGTGTGTGTTGGTGTCTTTGTGTGTATGTATTTTTTGTATTTTGAAATGTAGCAGATCCATCGGCCTTGAATCTTGATCTTAAATTCTATGTACTAACATTTGAAGCTTGTACATGTACATTGAAATCATAATATTATACAGGTATTATTATAAAATACATGAGAAAAATAACAAAAATCTGCATTTTCTTTTTACATTTCAATACACCAACATTTGCTGAAAAAGTCATTGCCCTACAACAGGGGTCTCCAAACTGTAGCCCGGGAGCCACCAGCAGCTCGACACCCTCTTCCAGGTAGCTCGCCAAAGGATTTAGAAATGAAGAAATTAAATAACACACTTGTTTGTTGTAAATGCACTTACTTTGAGCACTAATAACAAATATGAAATGATGAATAGTGACTGTACCCAATAGCAGGCTCGTTCACAATGGTATATCATCATTTCTTTCCCATGGCCGCTTAAAAGAGTAGCCCTATGCCTTTATTGTCCCGGGAAAGTAGCTCTTTGGGTAAAAAAAGGTTGGGGACACGTGCTCTACAACTTCCTTACCCTTATCCCACTATTAAATATAACAAATATTCCAATTTTGCCGTAGGTTTCATTCATGTGTGATGTCAACGTTCCGAAGCGCCTATGGTTTAATGTTAAGGTGGAGGCTGGTGGAAAAAATCTTTTGTGGTTTAATTTCTGGACCAAAGAAATTGTAACAATAACAAAAACAAATCGCTTCATCTTCTTTGTCAACACATAATCTACCTTCGGTCAATCTATTCTATCATAAGCGGTGACAATATAAAAAAAAACATATGCATGATGTTGGCTAGTAGAACAGACTTTCAGACTTATACGAATAACATCGTCTATCTGATGAAAAACATTTGGACGTTTCTTTTTGAAAAATGGCATTGCTCCCACAGATTGGTTCTAGCACCTTCCCTCTAATGGCAATAGAATTCAAGAACATGAACGCAACCGGTTAACACTGGGAGTACTTGAGTATTTTGCCGACCTGTATATTACTGTGAGATCTTCATGGATTCTCTTCACAAACTATTGCAGCAGCTGGCCTCATTTGAAACCATGGTAACAGGAGAACAGTCTGCACAAAATCCCACATCTTATTCTGTAAAATCGGGAAAATGTTGATAAAGCCTGATTGCTATGAGTTAAAGTGTGGTAGTTTTTACTCCCATCTAGCATTGAGATCATATATTGTAATTCACGATACTAGTGTAGCCGTCGTAGGACAATACTGTATGTCGTCTCTGACAGTGGTCCACAACTTCCGGTCAAACTCCTTTTTGTCCCATATCAACCACTGTATTTCAAGATGGCGCATTGACATGGAGAGTCTTCCAGCTCTCATGGACATGTATAAATCAACAATTCAAAAATATGGTGGAGATAAATATGCTTTAAAAGGTCACATTTGTTAACATGTTTTTTCATTTGGAGCTATGTAAAAATTACACAGAGTATCTTTAAAACCGGCTGTGCTCTTTCCAAGCCGTCAGATTTATTGATGGTATTTGATCACATGCACTGAAATCAGAAGGGTAACTGCCGTGTCGGAAGGAATCAGGACTAACTTCTGCGATATCACTGTTGTCGCAAATGAGTCGAGACAAGGACGTTTTCAACAGCTCGCTTTTCTGCCGCTGAGCAAATTGCCCGACAGCTTCCCACCAGAACCTAAAAAAAAAAGTATCAAATCCTGTTTAGCGTGATGACACATAATACATCCTTTGATCTGTAAAGATACCTATCGCCGTCACGAAGCACTCTCATCTGCTTTGCGATCAAACACGAAAAGAGCGGGCCGGTCCTTGAACCTGGTAGAAACCTTTCGACAAGTCCTCCAAGCCACACATCGATGTTGTTTGGATGTTTGTACAAGTCCAGAATCTTCTTGGCAACAATGGCATCTCCCACCACCTCAGAGAAGTCTTCTAATGTCCTCACAGGAGCCAGACCACAGAACTGTCTCCACTTGTTGTATCCTGACAATAAATGCAGCAAATGTATCGGTTCAGATTTGGGTAGTCGTGTCTGCAATGGCTTTTAAGTGATTGTAATTTAAGATTTTATTGCTTGTTTTTCAGTGGACTGGCCCCAAAATATGCCTCAGACCTTTTCCAAATTCACCACGTAACCTGGACTCTGGGGTCCAAGGGCCAGCTCCAGTTTGTGATTCGTAAAACAAGACTTGAAACCCAGAGGGACAGGGTCTTCTCTGTGGCTGGACCATATCTGTGAAGCATTCTACCCCACCCAACTAAAAACAGCTCTCTCACTGCAAAACAATTCATGACAAAACTATTTTAAAAAATTCAGTACTTTTGTCTTAATTTGAGTCCATTTTAACAATATTTGCCAATGGAACAAGCAACAGTATCTTGTTTAAAAAAAGTACTGTCTTCCTTAGAATGAGAAATAATTTGCAACAGCATTTGAAATTAGACTAAACAGCTTGTTCCATTGGCAAATCTTGTACAAAAGTACTGAATCTCTACATGCTGCCGTTAGGTCAGTTAATACGCAGAAACAAAGTGTCCTATCACAACTATGCAGACGACACTCAGATCTATGTCTCACTGACTGCAGGAGAACATGGACCAGTGGACTCACTCCTTCACTGTATCCAACAGATCAGTGAGTGGATGCAAAACAACTTCCTTCAGCTAAACGCAGACAAAACTGAAATGATTGTCTTTGGTCCCCAGAAACAAAGAGAGAGCGTCATCTGTCACCTACAGTCTCTCTCCCTAAAACCTTCAAACAAGGTCAGAAATCTAGGGGTAATTCTGGACTCAGACTTAAATTTTAATAGCCACATCAAATCAGTAACATCAGCAGCTTTTTACCATCTAAAAAACATTGCCAGGATCAAAAACATAGTGTCTAAAGCAGACCTGGAGATTCTTATCCATGCATTTGTCTCCAGTAGGTTAGACTACTGCAATGGCCTGCTCACAGGTCTGTCCAAACAGGCTGTAAAACAGCTGCAGTACATTCAAAATGCAGCAGCTCAAGTCCTGACTAGAACCAGGAAGTACGACCATATTAGTCCAGTTCTCAGGTCATGCACTGGCTTCCTGTGGCTCAGAGAATAGACTTTAAAACAGCTGTTTTAAAAGAGCTGTTTTAAAGTCTATGGAGACTTTAAAGTCCATGGAGAGCCATGGCCTAGCACCAAAATATATTAGTGACATGTTAGTCCCATATGAACCAGCCCGGACTCTGAGGAGCACAGGGACTGGACTCCTGTTAGTGCCCAGAGTCAGAACTAATAATGGGGAGGCTGCTTTTCAGATTCATGCTGCTAAAATCTGGAACAATCTTCCTGAAGATGTGAGACAGGGCTCCTCTCTGACAACGTTTAAAACCAGGTTAAAAACAGTTCTGTTTAGCTGTGCATACAACTGAGGGATTTTAATGTTTTAATGTTCTGTGATTATTTATGATTTTAATGCTTTCTTGTTTTGTTCAGCACTTTGAATTGCCTTGTGTATGAATTGTGCTATACAAATAAACTTGCCTTGCCTTGCCTACTCAAATTAAGATAAAAACACTTGATTTAGGCATTTATTACAATATCAGAGGTCTCCAACTTGTAGCTCGGGAGCCACGAGTAGCTCGCCAGCCCCTTACAGGTAGCTCGCCAAAGACATTATAATTTAACAAATACACGTCAATGAATACTTTTTGACCCATTACATATCTATTATAAGTATAAATATAGGGTTATACAGTATTATGGTGTATTTTGTGTGTTCTCTGAGTTTGGTCGTAATTAGTAGATCGACTTTTATTACGACTGCAAAAGGGAGTAGCTCTGCCTGTTTGTTTGTATAAAAGTAGCTCTCCGATTGTAAAAGGTTGGAGACCCCTGCCTTATATCCATCGTTAATTCGCTGGCTTTTAATGCTGCAAGAATTGTATGGTCCTCTGTGTTATTTTGTGTGTTTTTTTTAATCCATTTAATAATAAAAAAAATAATATTAATTTTGTTTATTGTATTTTTTCTGCTCTTATTTCACATTACTGGTTGTATTGTTTTAAACGTGTAAAAGTTTGATTGGGCCTTTTATGTGTTACTGCCTACTTTTGTGTAGCACTTAGGAGACTACAAAGTTTCCTCATTCAGAACTGCATGTACTGTATTGTTAAAAATGCTGTGGTTAAGCGCCACAGATTAAGTTTCACATTCGTTAAACAGGAAAAATATGAGAAGTGATTGACACCATTGTTATACATCTGTCTAAGGCGGAGCCGAGGTGAAGAATGTTCCTGACCTGGCAACCCGTGTTCCCGTCCTCTCTGCAGATTCAGTGCTGCCAGGTCCATTTTCTGTGGAATATTGAGAACGACCAGTCTCTCCGTGAGCTCCTCGGTCACCAGCATGTCTGCGTGAACAGCCGGTGCTGCTGTCCCAATCAGACCTCTCAGCACGGGTTCAATTCCCCCTAAATAAAGAAAAGGTTAAAGAAAATGGTCTGAAAGTTAAGTTTAATGCATACACCGTGCATAATGTGATTTTAGAATGTATCGTGCAAATGCCACACAACGGTCTTTTAGATAGATAGAGAGATACTTTATTGATCCCCCGTAGCAGAAATTCATGGGTCAAGTAACTGCAAAAATAACTAATATAATCCATAAATCCATTTTTGGGTCGGGGGAAGAGGATGGCTGCTCTGTCAGTGTGAGCATAGCCTTGATCTTTCAGCGGGGGCTTCAGGCAAAGTGGGGTTAAGTGTCTTGCTCAAGGACACATTGATGGCAGACATCAGTGGGAGTCGTTGGAGAAGGTTTCATGGTGGCCTTGAACCCACGACCTTCAGGCTCAAAGGTCAATGCTCTACCAAATAAAATTGATCATTCTAAAAAGCTAAGCAACAGCCCCTCAGGTCACAGCAGCAAAGGTGGAGTAGCCTCTGGGTGGAGCAGGACGGGTCACAGCAGCAAAGGTGGAGTAGCCTCTGGGTGGAGCAGGACGGGTCACAGCAGCAAAGGTGGAGTAGCCTCTGGGTGGAGCAGGAGGGGTCACAGCAGCAGAGGTGGAGTAGCCTCTGGGTGGAGCAGGACAGGTCACAGCAGCAGAGGTGGAGTAGCCTCTGGGTGGAGCAGGACAGGTCACAGCAGCAGAGGTGGAGTAGCCTCTGGGTGGAGCAGGACGGGTCACAAATGTGAGTAATCATAATGAGAAATAATGTAAATAATGCATTATAATATCATCTTTGAATCCAAAAAGATGAAAGCAAGATGAATTGGGTTTTTTTCAGTTTCATTTAGTTTTCAATGATTACAAAAAAGTGTTAAGATGTTTTGTCAGGTGTAGCAATGTACCTAATTGTTTAAAGGCACAAGTTTATACTCCCAGCTAGAGATTGTTTGTTTGCGGTTGTGTGAAACTATATGTTTTCCATCTTCAAAGTTTCCCATTATTGAGGTGTTCGCTAAAGATCTCAAATGTTTAGTGCATGCAAGGCGGCCCAAGAATTCACAGGAACTGAAGGCTTTTCGGCAGGAAGAAGGAGCAGCTTTAACAACCGAAAGGATAAAGAACCTCATCCACAACTACCACAAACCGGTGAGAACTGCGGTATGTAAGTACTGTACACTTTCAGGGTCATTTGAGTGGTTTGTGTTGTTCCAATTATTTAAATTGAGCATGTGGCTCGGTAAGTCAGGCTGAGAAATACAACATGTGACTGTAAATGTAAATATGCACTTAATTTATCCCCATGGGGAACTTTGTCCTCTGCATTTGACCCATCCTGGAGTACTACCGGGGCGTCTGTCAGGAGCAGTGGTCACAGTAGTACTAGTATGCATGTTTTTTTAGTGGTATGGGGAAACTAGAGCACCCGGAGGACACCCATGCAGGCAAGGGGAGAACATGCAAACTCCACTCAGAAAATCCCTGTTCTTACCAGAATTCTGAGAAGTATCCAGAAGCTATTCACTCAGCCACCGTGCCGCCCACTTCATAAAACACAGATTGTCAGTCAAGCTGCATATGCAAACACTTTGCAGGGAGAAGCATGGTATAATGAGCTCTCCTCTCTTCTCCTCTTCTTTCTCTTTCAGCGCATGACGATGGGACCCCCTGAGCCCGGGATCTTTTACCTGCACCTGTGAACTGTTACCCCCGGCCAGGACTCGAGGGCCGCACCCACCAGTTTGTTATTGTGGCATTTCCTGTGCCCGAACTGTTTGATTCTCTGATTAAGTCCTCCAACAATACTGCTGTTGTGAATTTTGGCTTCACAATTTGTATCACTTTTTTTAGTAAATTTAATTTCATTTAATTTTGAAATATTGCTCCTTGGAGATGATGCTTCTTGCTGGTGCTATCTGATTTGGGTGGCATCTCTGACTGCCACCCACCCGACCCAGGAATGGATTAAGGGGTAGAAAATGGATGGATGACGCTTCTCCAGCTAGAACTATCTTTTCATTCTTTTACCTATTTTATTGTGTGTGTGTGTGTGTGTGTGGAAATTTGTACAAATAATTTATGTGGTTTGGGGTAGGTCTCCTGGGTGGTCGGGCTGACAGTTCATGAACATATGAGACTGTTTTAACGCGCTTTATAAATAAAATGTGATTAATTAAGACCACAAACACACACACACACACACACACACACACGCGGGCACACACACGCGCACGCTTTTATGGCGTACTTTATATAAGTTTACCATCAAAAGCTTTCACCTTCTTTGACTATCCTCCAGGGGCTGAAGAATGTGTGGTGCAGTCTTAAATGGGGCCAGCGCTCGTCTTCCTGGAAGCTCTGGTTGAGTCTCCTCAGCGTCGGAGAGATGGCGGCGTGACCGAAGCGAAAGGCAGCTGTGGCAAACACGTTGGAAGCCGAGGGGTCCACGTCCGGGTCGTACCCTCTGTATGGGCCAATGTGACGTTCGTACGACACAGGGCCGATAATCTTAGGAATGTAGTCCCTCATGGTGATAATCTACGGGGAATGAAGACATGTTATGCAGCGACTGATGCATGCTTTTAATTACCATTCCCCAGAGTCCATCGCACTGGACCATATTTCCCCATGTCTTAACTCAAATTAGCATAGAAAGGGGATAAGAACTTGCTTTTAAATCTGTCTCATTTTCTATTGAGGGTACATTATTTCGAACAAACAGGTGAAACTTGGAAAATTAGAATGTCGATCAGATTTATTTCTGTATTTCCACTCATATTGTGAAACCGACTCATTATATGCAAAGTTTGACATTTGTTCGTTATAATTATGATGATAATAGTCAATTTCCAGAACATTCTCATTTCCTGAGATGTTTTATTATGGGTTTTTACAAGCTATGAGCCCATTATTACATTATAACAAATGAATCTATATCTCACTTTGCGTGGAATGAGACTGCGATGTATTAGTTTCACATTGTAAGTTTAATTTTAGGAGTCAATTGACTTTTTAAAGGATTTTTAATTATCTACAATAAATATGTCATAGTTAGCCTTTGAGCCTAAAGGCCGTGGGTTCAAGACCACCATGAGACCTTCTCCATCTTGCTCGGATGTCTGCTGTTGTCGTGTCCTTGGGCAAGACACTTAACCCCACTTTGCCTGAAGCCCTCACTGAAAGATCTCAGCTCCTGTGGACTCACCACCTGCAGGAGGATCAGTGAGGGGCTGGTGCTATGTGAACCTGGTGCAGCTCTGACTGCCACCCCCAACCCAGAAATGGATTAAGGGGAAGAAAATGGATGGATAGATGGAAATATGTCATCACAAAATTAGCAAACATTCAGACTATACACATATGATTTGATCAAATCAAGATTAAATGCAAATAAAACATTTTTAAAACAAAAACATGAGTTATTAGACACACACACACACCCGCGCACGCGCACACACACACACTGGCCCAAACACTCTGCTGACCTTACCCCTCTCTCCCACTTTTAAAAGTACTGTTAAATACACAGGGCACCGGCTGATATGCCATCCATCCATGTCCTTCCCCTTAATCCATTTCTGGGTTGGGGGGGTGGCAGTCAGAGCTGCACCCAGTACACACAGCACCAGCCCCTCACTGATCCTCCTGCAGGTGGAGGGTCCACAGGAGCCTTGATCTTTCAGCGGGGGCTTCTGGCAAAGTGGGGTTAAGTGTCTTGCCCAAAGACATAACAACAGCAGTCATCAGTGGGAGTTGTGAAGTAGGTCTCATGGTGGGCCTGAACCCAGCACAAACTTCAGGCCCAAATGCCAATGCTCTACCAACTGAGCCACTGTCGCCTCCACCGGCTGGTATGGACAAATCTAAATAAATGATTAATGTAAAAAAAAATCTATATTTTTTGCCTTCAACATGTTGCTGTCTATTTGCACAATCTGAGTGATTCTATCTGCGCAAAATGTGACATGTACATTTCTCCAGTGTGAAATCAATGAAGTCTATCTTATCTTATCATATCTTATCTTCCACCACAATTCAAAATTAAGTTAATGACCTCAACTGTACATACACAGCTGGAGCCTTAAGCAGTTAGATTCAAATGCAACTCAGGCCAGCTCGCCATTTTCATTCCTTGTTTTCAACTCATCACTCTGTCTCTGGGTTTGAAGCGGCACATTTCACTGAATGTTCAAGCGGCACATGCAATATATAGAATGTTTGAATGGATTTACTCACGCCCTCTGGCCTCCACTACCAACACACTCCAGCTTTGGCCTGAATGAGAATGAGACAGGTGACCACTTGAGTGATGCAAATGCCATATATTCAGTAGTTTCACTCAGAGCTTGACAACCCTACTTTTTATATACTTTAATTTTCCGTGTTGTTTCCAAAAAAAACACTGTTGCATAGAGCAGAAGTATGGCACCCTGGAAAGAGCTCTGGTGTATGCTTTCTTCTGTCTGGTGCCTACTGAGGTTGTCTTGCACAGTTTTTCCAATGTGGTTTTATTGCAAATGGCATTAAAATTCTTGAACCTTGATACTGTTACAAACAACAATAATTACATTGACATACATGTAATTGTGTGTGTGTGTGTGTGTGTGTTTGTACATGTGTGTGTGTGTATGCCACATACAGTGGCATACACACACACGCCCAAACACTCCCTGACCCTACACCTTCCTCCCAATACTTGCGCTGTGCATATAGGGCATTACTCCCTTTCCTCTGCATTATCTAATCCAGTATTTTTTAATACTTTTTAAATCATAAGTTAATCTAATCATCTGTCCATTTTAATTGTTTTTTTTCAATAGCTGTATTCTAGTTTACCAGCACTTAACAACATGAGCACTTCACCAGCAACTACACACACTACCTGTCCCTGACTTTGCACAACAGACTGTCAAAGGAGCGCACAGACGAGCCCGGAGAGCAAATACCTCTGAGCGAGCGTACAGCGTGTGAAGTGGGGACTTGAGCTGATTCTTTTCTGTAATTGCCTGGTCTAAGAAGCATAAATCAACATGACGTTTGTAGGAGTTCCGCAAGACACTTCACAAGCACCATCCAAACCAACTGCAGCCATAAAAACAAAATGATATTTGAAATTTCCCTGCTGTGGGATGAATGAAGGATCTCTTAATCTTAATCTTAATCACAGAGCTTTGGACCAGTCTAACTCTAAAGCCTTTTGCAGGTATCGAAATGTATTGTTATTTTTGTCAATTGTTGGATTTTTGTGTTGTTTTTCTTCTCTATGACAGGTCGTCTCTGTCTCAGCCTAATAGGAATGTTTGTGCAGCGGGATTATATTGGATTCAGGACTCAAAATATACACTTTCATTTCAGCAAGATAAAGAGTCTGACCCCAGATTTAGACCCATCAGTTCCATTTCTGTTTATGTTATGGGTGTCTTTTAGTAATGTGCAATATCACGGTTGTATCATAGAGCATGATCTTCTGCTTGGAGCAAGAGCAGCGTAGGTTTGTTTTGATTTGATAAATGGAGCTGCAGAGCTAAACACCTCCTGCCAGAAGAAAAACCGTGAAAGACAGAGAGCAGAGAGGAAGGTGTGGTCTAGATATGGCTTTAGCTGACCACGGTGAGTGTTGCATTATGGTTTTTTTTTTTTTCACAGATCAGGGTTGATGAGAAGAGGAAGTCAAGCGATGTGTGAAGTCTTAGATAGTTTGAAATGTTTCCCGGGGCCTGCAGCCAGGGGTCAAGTTGTCACTGCAAAAGATGACAGAATTAAAGACAAAAAATGCTCAAATTTGGCTAAATTTATCTAAATATGAGCACATTTTGACTGCCTTAAAACAAGATTTGCCAGTGGAACAAGAAAAATGATCTTGTTTTAAAAAGATACATGATATTTCTCTCTTGGAATGAGAAAATAAAGCAATAGTTATTGAATCAAGTCAAAATTGCTTGTCCCATTGGCAAATCTCATTTTAAGACAGTCAGAATGAACTTAAGTCAAGTTAAAAAAACTCGATTCTAGCAATTATCATCTCATATTTGATAATTTTTAGCGAATAAATCTGTACTCCAGCTGAATCAAGCTTGCTGGCGTCTAGTTTCCTTGAAGTGTATTCTTGAGAATGGCATTGTAACTGTGCGACCAAAACAATATCTTCTCCTCTTAAAGCCATTGTGGGTTGAACAAAAGCCACTTGTCGTGCTACATGTATTAGAAATGTCATTTGTTTCTGGATTGTGTCTCTACATTGCGTATCAAATAAAAAGACATGTGCACTTTGACGCTGTAGGCCAAATCGCTGTCCTTCAATCAAGCCATCTTTTTGCTGATTGGTTAATGCCCCAGCTTAATTTTCATTCACTTTAGCTCCCATAGGCCTGCACTGTTGCTTCTGAAGGCCTCCCCCAGGTCAGCTCTTCAAATCCTGACCTGGGAGAGCTGCACAAACAATTGAAGAGTATATTCTATGGGCATTTAAAAAAAAAAAAAAAAAGGTATCTGATTATGTTTAGGCCACTTGTTTGCAGGTAAAAACTAGCCAAGGAAGCACCATCCGAGGAGCCGTCACAGGACCTAGAGGAGAGATGAATCCGAGGTTTCCACCAGATCAAAGATTAAAACAACCGCAGTGAGGTTGGATATTATTTCTGGTATTCTTCCCTCTGTAAAATCAAATGTAAATGTGCACTTTATTTAACCCCCGAAGGGAACTTTGTCCTCTGCATTTGACTCATCCTGCACAGCCATTAGGTCGTCTGTCAGGAGCTGTGGTCGCCATAGTAACAGCGTCCGGGAACCCATCTCCAGATGTTTATGCTTGGCTTAGACAGGACCGGAGCTGGAGGATTTACCCGTTGTGCATAGTCTCAGTGGTAGGGGAAACCGGAGCACCTGGAGGAAACCAGAGCAGACGTGGGGGGAACAATAATTCAGCCACTGTCAATTCCTAAACTTTCCTACTCCAACATTATAGTAATATTGTGAGTGAAGTTTGAAAAATAAATGTCATAAATAAACTGAGAAAAAATTAGACGCAACCATTCATCAGATGCTAAAACTTCACCATAAAGCACCAAAGGTTTGCACAAAATGGAATATAACATCACAGTTGTAACCCTAACCCTACCCCTACTTCTTACACAATTGGCTTTGCGTCCAAGATATTTGGCAAACAGGTTTTGCCACACCTGAACCAGTTCTGCACCAGCGGAGAAAGTGAACCTAAGTCCAACCCAATATGAGTCAACAGAAGCAAATGTCCCTGAAGGATTTAATTATCAAAAATAACACTGTGTCTGAGAATTGTATAGCGCAGTTATTAATAGCGTTGCCGTGACACATCCGATCACCGAAATCAATCAGTTCTGCTATGACTTCTGTGAAGGACACGATACTGGGCCACTCCCATAACTACAGGTGTCCTGAGGCCGGAATCAAAGCACCTCACATTTCCATAGCAGCTGCAGAAAACACAGTTTTTAGAATCCACATATAATCACATCATGCTATGAGTGCTATGAGACTTGGGTGGCATCTCTGACTGCCACCCCCCTGACCCAGAAATGGATTAAAGGGTAGAAAATGGCATCTTCCTCATGGGTCTCTCCAAAGTGAAATGGAGCTTCGCGAAAGTTCACTGTGGTAGACCCGGCTGCTGCTGCCCAGGCCACAGGCTGCTCTTCCTCGACTCATCAATACCAGCAACGCCCACATCCAGTCAACCAATAACCACCAGGACAGCAAGTTAAAAGCCGGAGATGCCCACTTTCCGGCCTTCTGAAGTCTGCAAGCCTCCGCCGCCCCACCTCCTCCTTCTCTCATCGAAGCGCGCTTGCCTACTGCCTCTGCCGTCACCAGTGCCTAGGCCCCGGGGGGGGATTATGCATGCGAGCAAGCGCCGTGCTCAACAGCATCCCTCCCGGGCCTAGGGCGCCAAACATGCTCAATCATAAACATGCTTAAATCTAATAAGTCTAACGCCATCTTCCTCATGGGTCTCTCCAAAGTGAAATGATTATGTTATCATGCTGTATTATTGTTATCATGCATCATGCTAATGATTAGGTATTATGATTTTAATAACGTTAAATGGCTTGTCCTGCCCAAATGTCTATAATGACTATTATTTAACCAGACCATAACAGTGAGATAAATTGCTTTTGCTAGCACAACAGGAATTTATGTTTGATGTTTTATAATCTCATCTGAAGCAGTTAAACTGGTTTATGATTTAAATAGGTCATTTGCTTTGGAGGTTTACAGAATGTTATGGAATTCATTTATTTACACAATTTTGCTTGTCTGTATAAGTCAGAGCCATATCCTTTTACATCTCTGAAGCTAAAGAACAGTCTGATGGGGCAGCTGCGGCTGTACGATGCCATAAAACCATTGTGTTCTTAGGCAAGACACTTCACCCACATTGCCTAGAAAGAGTCTGGTGTGTGTGTGAATGGTTGATAACTGGTTGCTACAGGCTGTAGTTTATCATCTCTGTGTATGGAGTGAATGAATAATGACATGTGAAGAGTCTTTGAGTGTCTACATCAGGGGTCCCGAAACCTTTTCCTGTGAGGGCCACATAACTTTTCCCTTCTTCGATGGGGGCCGGGTCAGTTTGTAACAGAAAAAGTGTGATGATTGCAGCATTGAAATAGTTACTAATAGTTAATAATGAAAAAAAAGTTCATAACTAAGGAACTTTTTATTGCAAAAGTCCAACTTTAACATCAAATACACATATGAGTGTGTTCACAGTAAAGTGTCAATCAAAGTATCTGGACTTTAAAAGGTTATAACTGTAGGATAAATTAAAATGACCTCTTTCCTCAATCAAAGACATTTTGTTGTATATTGAGACATATTATAACTTCTGTCTCCACTGTGTGTAAATCCTTATGGTTCAGGTTTTATTGTGGGTAAGAATGTCTTAAGAAGAGTGCCATGGCAAAACCCTTCCCCCAACGACTCTACAAGATGTGAAGACTTACAAGGACCCACAGGGAAGAAAAACCAGTCTGCTTTGGAACCACGGAGTGACCAGACCTCCCTGGGCTCTGCCCTGGGCTCTGCTCAGGCAACCAAGGGGCTTTGGGTCTCTTAGATGGCCTCAAACCTCAGCTCCATGTTTGAGAGGACTTCCACAACCCTTCAATAGCCTCCAGCTTCAACCTGAAGAAGTTGCTGAGTTTTGGCACCTAGACTGTGGATCGTGGGAGGACTTGGTTCAGCCACATGATGCAGCCGCATGGTCCAGGCCCCGTGGACAAGAAGCCTCCATCCAACACCATCAAGACCCAAGGACTGCTATTCACCAAAGGCTATTCTGGTTGTATGATCTGCTCTCTTGCTACACACAGTTGTTGGCTTTATTAAAACCTATACTTCAAAGAATACTTCCTACCAAGGCTGAACACATGCAGGCCTCAGCCTATACCAATCCATTCATAGACAAAGGTCTTGCTTAGCTCACTTTAGCCTAGCATTTTAACAATGTATCTTGAAATCAACGTTTCCTTCATGTTATTCTTGACAATTTGCATATTTCATATCTAGTCTGTATTGTGTATACTTCATTAAATCTACAAAACCATCTTTGTCTGAAAGTGATATTTGTACTTTTAACTCCAGAAATTGGGTCACTGATTTGTAAAATAATTCACTACCTTCAGATTCTATTGAAGAGAATTGGACTAATTAGCTAATTAAATAATAAAAGGACTCATGAGATTACTTAATCAATAAATGAGCCAATTAATTGATATTGTGACGTCATATGCACGTTATCAGTTGGGAGTTATTCCCTGGTGCCCCTAAATAAAGCTATTATCAATTATTGTATTTATTACATTGTTTTTATCCAATTCTCCGATATCAGGTACATAACTTAAGTTATGTGTGATATCGACATTTTCTCACCCTACATAACTCTAAAACTAAAATTACTATCATAGATTGGAAAAAAGATTTCAAACACAGACAGATCAAAGAGATAGTGTGGATAAAATCAAAAGGAAAGATTGACAAATATATTTTTGGTGACATTTTAAACGACATAATCAGCCTCTGATCTGACCATTTTACTGTGACGCCAGTTACATAGAAAATATAATGTCCTCAGTCTGAAAAAGTGGCAGGTGAAATCCCACAAGATTAACATGGTTAACACAACATAAGTTAATCACTTGATATTAAAAGGAATCGTTAAAAACATAAATGACCCTTGAAAAATGTGTAACGGACATGATGGTTTCCGTCCATTTTTCTCTAACAAATAAACTTGAGAAGAAAAAAAATCTGGTCTGGTTTCACATTTAACATGACTGGCTGGACCATGACTGTCACCCCCCGCAGGACACTCTCTCTGCTCTGGAGAGCAGCTTCAGTGACAGACTAATTCACCCTCGATGTGTGAAGGAGAGGTTTCACAGGTCTTTCCTTCCTGCTGCTGTCAGACTGTACAACGAGAATGTGTAACAGGAACTGCTGAGTCTGCACAAGTGTTTCTGATAATTCACTAGTAACTTTGTCACTAGTCACTTTACCTGTTATCAGTACTACTACAGTACTACATATCTGATATTTACTGTTATCAGTACTACTGTATTATTTCATATCTGATAATTCTGCCTTTCACCGTCACTTTACCTGTTCTGATGTTTATTCTGCTCATATTCTTATATTCTCCGCTGCTAATGTATAATATAGACATCTGTAAATACTCCGAACCAAGTGCAATCATAGCCCAGAGTTTCTTATATTTCTTAAATTTATTGTCTATTATCTTAAATAATAGACTTTGATGTGTGCGATCTGAGTGCTCTTATTTCCTTTCTCTGCTGTAATGTGCGCAACGATGACACTGAAATTTCTCCACTGTGAGACTGATAAAGGTTTATCTTATCTTATCTTATCTTATCTTAACTCATTGACTGCTAGCCATTTTTGAAGATTTCACTGATTTTCAAGACCCACAAAATATTGTGTGCTATGTCTATGTGAAATACGAAACCAGATTCTGACTGTCTACTTTCATCAGAAAAAATAAGTGTGTTTCTTGCTAGTTTTGTTCTTCTGTTATTCCCAGTCGAATAGAGGGAAGTTTGACAGAAATCACCGGTCTCAGACAAACACGTCAATGGCAGTCAATGAGTTAATTGGTTGACTATATGAAATTATCACTTTGTTTCTACTCTATGTAAAAAAAAAAGAAAAGAATCTCTGAATCAAATGCGAACATCTAAAAATAAGTATTACATTTCCGCAGCTCATTCCGTCAAATTATCATCGTCCGTTACATAGAATAAACAGAGCCACTATAGGAAACTTGTCTAATATAATAAATAATTTTTTTTGTCACACTTTTGTGCCCTTTAGTGTGAACAAGCCCATATATGAAAATACTCTCTGGTATTGTTCAGGGGGGCCGGGTCCGGCCCGCGGGCCGTAGTTTGGGGACCACTGGTCTACACACACACAAACACGCACACACACACACACACACACACACACACACACACACACACACACACACACACACACACACACACATAATATTGAATTAGTTGTATTAGAAATAATGTTTAATTTTCTGGTAACTCTTTATAATAGGTGGTGTAATGTGAATCATTGATGACGTCATGAACTAATCATGATCTAGTAAATGTTTCATCACAATATCAACAAGGTTTCTGGGTCTTGCTGTGTTTCTGGGTAATTTACTTTTGTTTTGTGTGACAGGGAATCCATATGCAAAGCAAAACAATCTGCTTTGTTAAAAAGGAATCATTAACATATTAACATAATTTCATGAATGGACTTTTCTGGTTCCTATTGCTATTCTGAGCTCTCTCTGTGTAACAAAACAATACATGTGACTTAGATTTGGTATCATATGTAACCAAAGAGAGAAGCACATGTGTGTGTTGCCTCATGGCCGCACCTGGTGCATTGCTCCGATGATCTTGCGTGTCTCCTGAAACAGCGTGTCCGAGCTCCAGTGAGCGTTGAGGGTCCTCAGCTCCTGTGCGATGCGGTTGTGTTCTCGGAGCCACAGAGTGTGAAGGGAAGTGAGGGGCAGGCCTTCGTTCACCCGACTGTCCCCCGCGAGAAAGCACTCCACCCTGGGCCCTTCGGTGTGCCGGACGTCCTGTAGGCATCCAGAGGGCAGAGAGGGGACTGGGGGCAGGTACGGGCGCCCTCTGGGGTCCCTGAACTCATGGTGGACAGACAGTTTCCCATCTGATCCCCGCAGAGAGGCCTGCAGGTCAGCGTCATGGCCGTACACCACAGAGGCGTCCAGAAAAGAGGTGATGGAGTTCATCTGCTGCAGCTGCAGAGTGTGGCCCAGGTCAGGGTGCAGACAGCAGGCCGGGGACGAGCGGTGGAAGGCCATGCACCCGTCTCCTGTCTGGGAATATCAGTATTAATATCCACTGACCTAACCCTTTACTGCACTGATCATCAACTGGCGGGCCGGATCGAACGGCTTAGCGAGCCAGATTCGGCCCACGACTGTATTCCAAAATTGTGAAGGGGAAAAAAAAAGTCAATTTGACAGCTTTTCGTTTTGGAGGTGCAGTTACTCCACTTATGTATGTTTTTGGTTTTCAAAACATTGTAACTTTTCCCATTTCTATGTGTTTTTTCTTTTCCTATGTTCTAATGTTTATGAAATTATCTCAATCCTAGACTGGTTCAGAGCCATTTCAGCTTGAGGAAAGTGCGAGTTACCATAGCAACACACTGTTTACTTGCAGCAGTTAGCTTTTAGCTATATTTCATTTGCATTGACTGGTTTTAGCATGTATTAAATATTAAAAATAATAGAAATGCGTAGATGTCAATAGGAGTGAAAATCGGGAGGACCAAAAGTCTTGATGAACCCACACACACACACACAAAGACACACACTCTCCCCTACTTCTATTTATTCCTTATCTGTACAATTTTCATGTAAATATTGATTTCCATTGTTTCTGTCTCATGCAATTTGTCACTATTAATCTTGATGCTTCTAACAAAGGTTGAAAAAAATAAAAATGTGGCACCTTGATTGGGAAACACGGATGCACATTGTCGCAGGTGCTGAGGCAGCTCATCTTGTTGGTTTGAGGAGTGAAAGTGATGTCGTGGTCTATGTACTGGCCCCACTCCACCAGCAGCTGGGAATACTCCTTCTCTCTGGGTTTGATAGAGCTCCGCAGGACTGTCTTACTCACTTCCCACACCTGAGAACGAGTCACACGGTTACAAATAACTCTCGTCAATCTCCGTCAGTTCATCTGCGGCTCCTCAGTGTAGTGTTTTCTAACTGGGGGTATTCGGACGTGGGGGTATTGCAGAGGGTACTTGAAGTTATATTCAAATATTTATGATAACTTGAAAACCTTATTAACATTATAAACCTTGAACGTATACATTCACAGGAAGAATACCTTGGGGCTTGTTCTTGAAAACTGAAAGACTTACTTTTGTTTCGGTCCAAGGATGTAGACTAGTTTTGTAATCTCTCGCCATAAAGCACTAAAGAAAAGCATTAGACCTTGTTAGCACCCAGTTCATAGAGCACCCTCACTGATCCTCCTGCAGGTGCTGAGGCCACAGGAGCCTTGATCTTTCAGCGGGGGCTTCAGGCAAAGTGGGGTTAAGTGTCTTGCCCAATGACACAACAACAGTGGGAGTTGGTGGAGAACATCTTGTGCTAGACTGATGCTCTAGATATGGAGCATCAACAACAACAACTGGTGATATCCATGTCAGACCAAACTTTCCATTTTATGTAAAAAATAAATGAATAAAAATGATTAAAAATATAAACATTGAAAATTGATTGAGTAATTAAATATTAGTTGAATTAATATTTCAGTGTTTTATCCGAGTTTTGAGAGCATAGTTTGGATCAGGTACGAGCCATTTTAGTCAACAAGAATTTCTTTGACCACAAAACTCTCAGGTCGGGTTAAGAAAAATAACAACAGAAAAATCCAGTACTCTCACTACAGTTGGTCTGTCCTATCATGAGCGACTCTTTCATACACATTATACAGGAAAGTAGAGTTTAAAGAAGGCACTATGCACTAGCTGGAGCTGGAATCAAACTCAACATTCTTCTAAATGTATCTAATAGTGAAAACATCTAAAAAACAAACATTTTAAACTCTCATCGTTTCCCTTTTTCATTTTCCATTTCCAACGAACGCCACTTTGGCATTTAATTAGGCAGATTTATGACACTATTTAATCAGCAAGCGTGCTGCTGCTAACCCAACTCCTTATTATGAAGGGGCCATTAGCATCAAAGATTATTACTGTTTTCAAACACATTAGCACATGAACGCTGCTATGTGGAGGTAAATAAAGAGCCCCCATAGAACTAATGCATATTTGATGAGTTCTTTTTGTCATTAAAGAACCATAGACCTAATGAGCGCATACATTACTTCCTGTGTTGCAATGATTGTTATTATAGTTAGAGGACAAAATTAGACTGTGCCTCTGTGCCGAGACTTCTTTGCCATGTGCTCGGGTCAGCTACAGCATGTCACAGATCATGCTACATATGATCATACTTCATACAGAAATCACATTATTTAACTTTCATTAAATTAGAATAATAAATAGGGGGTGGGAGTTTAAAATTGTTACTTCTCCCTACTCTTTTTAGAGCTGAGTTTCTGTTAAAACAAAACATACTGTATATTTGTGTATTATCATGTATTGTGCTTTTATCTACTCTGTTGTTGTTTTGGTGTTGTTCTTTGTTCTGGTTTGCCATGGCTCGAAATAAAGTATTAATTCATTCATTCACTATATAAACACAATAAGCATACAAACTTTTGCAATATTATGTCATTTGCACTTTAAGTTACGGGGTAAATTCATAATGGTAAAAGTAAAGTGTACACAACCTCACATTTTGACGGACACAATATTCGCTTCTGTAAATTACTCCGATAAACAAAATGACTAAAAGTATTTAATGCCACTAATGCAGGTTTAATAAAGCAGGATAATCCCGTGAAGTAATTTATGAGTTTAATAAAAAAGCATGTGCCGAGAAAATGAGAAATTCAGTAATATTTGGATATAATAAACCCGCTACTGCTAAAATGTGATTATTTTACTAAGAAAATGGCAAAACTGATTTTTTACTAATTTCTTACAGACAATCAATGTCGAGGTTCAAAATATACCCATCTGTTATTGAACAATGATATCATATAGTTAATATTGTGCCAGGGTGTCTACTATATGAACAAAGTAAAACATTTATAAAAATTAAAACAAATCTTTGTGATAACAGCCTTGATAATCCTTGACAGAATGAAATGATTAAAGGAGACATATTTTGCTAAATCCATGCTGATATCAGGAACTTCTGGCACAAACATGTAACTCCGCCCCCTCTGTATAAAAGCTCTTGCGTCCTGTATTAGTATGATGCCATACAGAGCAGTCGTCTGCCTAAAAAAACTAAATAAATGGTCTATTCTTGTTATATTGCTACATTTGTTTTGGTAATCTCTCTGGAGAAATGTCATTCTTTACAATCACATGCCTGTGTTTGCATTTTCAAATGTATCTACTCCCTCTAGTGGTAACATAGGGACATACAGGCAAAAAGCAATTTTTAAACTTCATACTTGTTTCAACAAATATTTTCTATCGTAGATATAATATTACATTCCAAAACGATGAAAAAAAATCTTCTAGTATCTATCTTGCAAACAGTCTCATTCTAGTTTTTAACAGCCAAAAAATATGCCAAATACTTCTTTAAGCAATAAATAATTCTTTAAATACGTTTGTTTTCAGGGTAAGGTTTCCCGTTGTGTGTATTTGTGTTTCTAGACTGCAGAAAAAGAGGTTTGCACATTACCGAGGGAAGTAGAAATCCGTTATGGAGGCGATCCGAGTTCCAGCCTTTGGGTTCTCTCTCCCCGTCCTCATACTCAGCTGGAAGCCATCTGACCAGCGCCGTGTTGGCCGCTCCCCAGAGAGGGTTTAGTCTGACAGAAAGAATGAAGAAGACTCTCCACAAGCACAGAACCGCACAGCGCACCAGGCTCTGTGCGGCAACACAACATGACAACACCATTTGTTTCCCTACACTAGGCCAGCACGGCGGCTGTGTATGCTGTCAAAGTCTGGGGCTCACAAAACGTTGCAGAGACTGGCCTTAATAAGATGAAGACAGCATGTTGTGGCTACTTTTGTTGAGGAGAAGGAGAAATAATGAAATAATTATTTATGGTAAAAAAGACATCCCAGCTTTAAGTGAATGCAGCTCATTTTTGTATTGCCCTAAATCACAACAGTAGATATCTCAGAGTTGTTGAAATTGCCAACATAGATATAGAACACCTAGGTATTGGTCCATAGGGGGAGATGATCAATGTCCAAGTGTTGTAAAACATGAAGCCAATCCACTTCATTCATACAGCACATTTTATAAAACATTTTTCCAAAGTGCTGCACGGATAAAAGAAACAGATTACGATGGATGTCAAAGTCAAGGCTCGGGGGCAAGATCCGGCCCTGAAAGAGTATTTGAACCGGCCCGCACAGAGCCATAAGAAAACATTGGATTATTAATTTAATGTTCAGGAACTGTGTTTTCTCTTTTAAGGAATGTTTTTTACTTGAAATGACAGTCAGCGCCATACAAAAATATTGGATTATTAATTGAATAACTAAATGAAATACGTTACACTGTCTTGGTTCTTAGTTGAATAGGTTTTTTGCCGTAATTTGAATATGTTTTTTAATAAACATTACAAAAGTCCGGCCCTCGGCTTGTAGCAAATTTGTTTTTTTTTGGCCTCTGTATTTGACTTTGACATCCCTGAGAATGTTGAGTGTCCTGAATCATCACCACGATTCAAAAACTGTAGACCCCTTATGCAGGGCCCAGAGAGAATAGAAAACTATTAAAAGGTAAAAAGAGGAGACAAAGCAGCATTTTCAGCTGTAACTCTTGCAGGACAGCTTCTATGTGTGTCTCTGCATATTACGTGTTTAAAAATACTTGTGGTCACCTGTTGTTGCAGCGTCCGTCGATGCTTCTGTACTCGTGGGGAGGGTCCTGACACTCAGAGGGCAGTGGAGCAGGAGGACACTGGGACAGATCCCACATCAGGGCGACATCCTCCCACAGCAGCAGCTCTGACGCCATCACAACACACGGCTTCACAAACCATCATACACAACTCACAAAAGGTCAGGGATATTCGGCTTTTGGGTTAAATAAATGGAAAATGAAACAAAAAGTCCAGTAAAAGCATGCAATGACAATTTTCTCATCAAATTTACTTTTTCAAATGTATGTACACCAAAATAACAATAAACAAACCATATGGCAAAAGGTTAAAACAAATATATAGCTGCAGATGAACAAACACACTTCACACAAACTTAACAATAACATTGGATATCTTCAGGTTTTCCTCTCCTTCTTTGTTTATCAAATAAACACCTAAAAACAAGTCTGGCCCAATGTGACGCCCGCAGAAAAAAACAATTGCCCACCCCTGCCCTAGGCTCTCATAATCCAGGCATCCACCACAATATGACAGTAAAGAGAGAAGAAAATTTTTTTACTCTTGTCAAACAAACAAGACGCTAATATCAAACAAGTTTAAATACATGAGAATAAAATGGACAGAAGACTACATTTCCTGTACCTGCTGCCTCCCTGCTGTATCTGCGTCTCACACGGCTCTTTAGCACCTGCAGAGTTGTGTGGAAAACTTCTGCGGCCCGGGTCACCTTCAGCGTCTGCGTCTGCGTCTGCCGAGCGAACGTGAACATGCTGCTGCTCCGGCTGCTCCCACAATACAAGAAGATGCACACGCCGGGCATGCAGATCAGAAAATGATTCAAAAGTTCATTGGTTTCTGTAAATCAACTTAAAACGTGAAACCAATATCTAGTCTGATATCTTATGATGATTCATTCAACCAGGGGGAAGACAGTGGCTCAGTTGGTAGAGCATTGGCCTTTGAGCCTGAAGGTCGTGGGTTCGGTCTCACCTCAAGACCACCTTCACGACTCCCACCGATGCCTTCTGTTGTTGTGTCCTTGGGCAGACACTGAACCCCACTTAACCTGAAGCCCCCACTGAAAGATCAAGGCTCCTGTGGACTCACCACCTGCAGGAGGATCAGTGAGGGGCTGGTGCTCTGTGCACTGGGTGTAGCTCTGACTGCCACCCCCCCAACCCAGAAATGGATTAAGGGGAAGAAAATTGATGGATGGATGTCAAAGTCCATAAATGAGGATGGATTCAACCACATTTATGGACATTGGTCATCTGCCCCTTTTGGATCAAAGCCTCTGTGTTTTTTCAATTTTCTAAACATTGCATTTTGTCTGTTTGATTCTCTGATCTGTATTGGTAAGTTGACGATTTGAAAAGTCCTTATTCATGGTTATACATAAATAAAATCAATTGAATAGTCTATCTTTAATAATATTCAAATTTTCAGAGATTGTATTGGTTTTGTTTTTTTACAAGCTGTAATGATCAACACTACACACAAAAAAGAGTCATATATTGGTTTCAAATTTTAAGTCAAATAACAGAAGCTGACTCCCACCTGACCCAGAAATTGAAGAAAATGAATGAATGAACTAATGAAAATAGAATCTCTTAATCTTAATTACAGAATCAAATGGACCTTCCAAGTTTCACCGACAGTATACATAGTCAGTTGTGCGTACACAGGCCATGCATTACCTTTGCCTGGACTGAACCAATGCTTCATCCACAATTTCCAGACTTTCTTGATATGATGCAAACAGCAAATCTTTCATGGTTGTGGCTGAAAAAAAAAGGACCAATGACACTATCTAAGTATATACATGTAAAAGTTTACCAAACAAGATTTTTACTCACAGTTAAATTCTCTGCTGGTCATAAAAGGCACATAGAATACAATAAGAAAAAGTCTCCAAAAGCCCATTGTTAAGTCTCTCGCTCGCTCCTAACCAGCAAACCCAGAGTGGACTTGGCTTTGTATTCTCATAAATACCCCCTGCTTAAGTACAAGCCCTGAGTCGTGTTTACGGTTTACTGGTCTGCAACTGCACTCACAAACAGGCAATGTGTCAGCCACTTCAGAAAACGCACGTCTCCAGAAGTCTTAGCAAAACAAGAATTAGATAGAGGAGACATGAGGGGTCCCCTGGGAATGGAGAGGTTTTATGAAGCCTGATGTACTGCATGTATATGAGGTGTCGTGGAGAGAGGAAGTATACATCAGATAGAACTTAACTATGACTATCCAGGCTGAGACATACCACTAATGAGATGTATTTAAATGCCTGGAAACAGAAAATTCAAAAATATATTTCACCTGTGGTAGGAGGGGAAGGTGTGTGTGTGTGTGTGTGTGTGTGTGTGTGTGTGGAGGAGGCATATGGTTGACTGTGTTGATGTAAGCGTGTGTGTACGTATGCTTTTTTATTTCTGTTACCACTTTTGTTTATCATTAGTGATATTAGTTTGTGTAAGCTCTCAGTCGTACAGGGATTAGTCAAAGCAAAGGAAGAGTTCTCACCCATCATCTGTACTTCTTAGCAGGTTTTCCCGACGTTTCAATTCAAATAATTTTTTCAAGGGGATGAGATCTCAGACCGCACGTTGGAGATTTACAATATAGCACTGACCACTATATTGGAGAAACCAAACAAACTCTACAGAAACGACTTTACCAACATCGTAGAGAAAACTCTAGTGGGCCACAATCAGCTGTTCATCTCCACCTCAAGGCCTCCAACCACACCATGAACGACACAGAGGCTAAAATTCTGGCTTGAGACAAAAATTGGTTTGAATTGGTTTGCCATTTTTTTGAGGAAACACAAACCTTCTCTTATCAGAGGAGGAGGGTTAAGATTTGTTTTGCCTCGCATCTATGACGACATCCTAAAAACAACGCCCTAACTATAGATAAGGTCAGTGACATGCTAATGAGTTAGGAGGGGTGAGACCTGCACTCCACTCCAGCATCCCAGCAGACAATAGGTCTGTGACATGCTAATGAGTTAGGGTCGTTAGCCTCAGCAGGGTCGTTAGACCTGCTCCCTTCTACATCAAGCAGACCTTAGATTGTTTATGAGTTAGTATCAGGATTAGGGTGTGGCTAACCACACCCAACGCGTGGTCTGAGAATTCATTCCCTTGAAAATGTTCTTTAGATGAAGGAAAAACTTCTGGAAAACCTGCAAAGAACCTGCATTGGTTTTATATAGCGCTTTTCTGGACACTCAAAGACGCTTCACATGTGTCATTATTCATTCACTCCATACATAGTGGTGATAAACTACTACTGTAGCCACAGCTGCCCTGGGGCACACTGACAGAAGCGAGGCAACCAGTATGCGCCATCGGCCCCTCCGACCACCACCAATTATTATTTTAATATACATACATATTTGTCTTAGTTTTCTTACTTCTATTTTTAAACATACATTTTATTATAACATATACACTTTTGTCAATTATTATAATTAGTTTATATTTGTATTTTTTTATTTGTATTTATTTTTGTGTAATCATTTCCATTGCATTAAAGTTGTTGTCTTGTTATGTTTTTTGAATTATGACATTAAACCATTTGAATTCTAAAGGGAAAAACTCAAAATAAACTATATTCAAAAAATGATTTATAACCTAGGCATGGACACTGTCTGTACAATAGGTTTTTTTCAAGCGACATCTGAATATTCCATAGTTTTATTTGTGGAGAAGGGAATCTGAAAATGTTATCCTGGTGTCTAAGGTAAATGTGTTAATGTAAATGTGTTAGTTAAAAATTGTGTTTGTAATTACTGGGATAATCCACTGTCAAGCGCTCTGTGAGTTGGTTTGTGAAAGGTGCTATATAAATAAAGATGAGATGAGAACAGTGCACATCATTCATGAAAGTGTCTAAAATATTCAAAAAACATTAGAGTAGAAAGGACTCTCAGACATAAGAATAATTTGATAAAACGTTCTGGGGAATATCTGGATCTTTGTGGTCATACCTGCATGTGGAAGCAGTATCCCGTCAGACCTCTGAAGCAATGAGCAGGGTAGGTCCTGGTTAGTACTGTGATGGGAGACCTGTGGGGCGGCTGTAAAGTGCAAAGCTGCCGTTGTGTCCTTAGGCAAACACTTCTCTCACATTAGAAAGAGTCTGGTGTGTGTGTGAATGGTTGGTGGTGGTCAAAGGGACTGATGGCACAGACTGGTTGCCTCACTTCTCTCATTGCGCCCCAGGGCAGCTGTGGCTACAGTAGTTGTGTATCACCACCGTGTAGGGAGTGAAAGAAGAATGGCATGTGAAGTGTTTGAGTGTCCAAAAGAGTGCCATAAAAATAATCAAACATTTGTACCAACTGATATAATGAACGCAGCCTACTGTATTCTGGATGGAAGATTGTCATGAATGTGTTGGGACCACGTGTCTATAAAATGTAAATATTGTTCTGTAATTAACTTTTCAACAGTCCCTCAAGTTCATCAACAGTACCCACATGACGCTGTGGAGAATGATTGGTGAAGACATGTTTTGTTTAGTCCCTTCAAAAGCCTGTGTGAGTTATCGTCCAGTCTCCGTCGGTGGAGTCACGGGCCGTTGAGAGTGGAGCAGTCACACAGCAGTGCTCCACAGCTCTGATGCACAGGGGCCGAGAGCCAGCGTCACAGCAGACCCTCAACAGGCTCTCAGCAGTCAGCAGCAGTTGTTTGTGTACGGACTGTGGAGACATACTGCTGTAGAAACACATGTAGTGGAATAAATGCCCTTTGAATTAACAGGTACAAGTGTAAGAAAGCTGGGGAAGCTTTTTGTTTCATAAATACAGGCTGTCGGTACACTGAAAAAGTGATGAAAAATAAGTCAAAATGTGCTAAAATTTGGCAAAATGTATCTGAATTTGAGCATATTTTGACAGCCTTAAAACAAGATTTGTCAATGGGACAATGTAAAAGTATCTTGTTTCAAAAAGAAATAGAAGAGAAGACTTTGGATTGAGAAAATAAAGCTACAGATTAAATGGCTTTGTCCCGAAGATAATCTTGTTTTCAGAGAGTCAGAATGTACTCAAATTAAGATTAAAACACTTGATTTAAGTAAATATAACCTCATATTTGATCCTTTTTTTAGAGTATTGTTCAAACAGTGTGAATATTATGTGAATAAATCAGGCCATGTCCAGAAAATGTATTTTACATACTGTGCTGTTTTGGCTGTACCTCTATTTCTCTGATGCAGCAGATTTAAACATGTGGTAGTGGCCAAAAATACAAGGACGTGGACAGTACACAACAAACAATGATCAAATACCAGGTAATGATCTTAGGTAAGGTCTTCAAACAAGATTTGCCAAAAGTAAATAAATATATAGTGTTCTTATTTCAAGAATTGTTGCATTATTTCCTCACCGACTCCCACTGATGTCTGCTGTTGTTGTGTCTTTGGGCAAGAAACTTGACCCACATTGCCTAGAATGACTCTGGCGTGTGTGTGTGAATTTTTGGTGGTGGTCGGAGGGGCCAATGGTACATAATGCTTCTGTCAGTGTGCCCCAGGGCAGCTGTAGCTACAGTTGTAGTTCATCACCACCGTGTACAGAGTGAATGAATAATGACATGTGAACTGTCTTTGAGTGTCCAAAAAAGCACTATACAAAACCTAGGGGTGGGCCATATGGCCTAAAATTCATATTGCGGTATAATTTGGGACATAAACAGTAGACGGTATATATTGCGGTATAATTTGGTGTGTGAATTTCAATAGGTCATGCAGGTTCTTGCATAAAATAGTCAAGATTGTTACTAATTTATAAATTAGAATCTAATATATATATTTTCTTTAGTTTGAAAATCAGGTGTGTTCAGTCTCCACAAACAAAATCACCAGTATTTCATCCAGTATTTAATACATTTTTAGCATATAATATTATTCCATATTAAAGAGACACCATGCTTTTGAAATGCAGATTGAACTGATGACCCTGTGGTTAGTGGGTTGCCAACTTAAGGGACACCATTTGGGTGGATCCGGTTGAGCACTTTTAGTCCTAATTTCAATCTACACAGGAATCATGGAATTTCATAATCAGTTTTTTGAACTTCACTACATATAAAAAACAAAAACAAATCCTTAGTCAAAAATGAAATGAAACGAACAGGTGGAACTCTTTGGCTGGTTAAGGACTTAATGCATGCTTATAATACAATATATAAAAAAAGACTTCAGTAAAAGCTATTGTTCGTTTACAAAGATGGTCTTGACATTTGTTGACGCTCCCTAAGAGCTTTTCTCAGTGCTTGCAGCAATGGCTTTCTCTGCATTAAAACAGCGCGTTGGATTTGAACAATCAATGTAAATATGATCATTTTGGCACAATTACTTTTCTTTAACAAAGTAGCTTTCATAACCTATTGACCGCAGAAGTCTGAATCTGACGCTAACTTCATCAAACTTCTGCCACGCTACAGGCCACGCTGACGCTTGTCAACATTAATCCAATGGATGTGATCCGGGCTAATGCTGCTAGGCTTGGCTAATTCCGGTTGTTGAGGTGCTTTCTCCCGGCGTCACAGCCTGCGCTAGCTTTAGCCAATCTGCGCCGGGTTAACCTCCGTTGGGCCCCGTGCAATTTGATGACATAATGACCTATCACAATATGCCGGTATAACAAAAATCTTGTTGGCCAAATTTGTATCGCAGACCGCTTAGACCGTTTATATATCGCCCAGCCCTAACGAAACCCATGCATTAATATTTTCATTATAGTCACCAAACAGCTGTTACATATTCCAAACTTGTACTCTTCGTGCCAATGTTAGAGCAAGGAATTTCCTGACGTAATTTGATCTTGTGTGATGCCTCTGAGAACATATTTTTTAAATAATCAAATACCTGCGAGGGAACAAAGGGTGGAGCTGGTAAGACTGTCATGGGGCATGGAGTTTCACAACAGGTTTGTCCGGCACAAAAATCAGTCGTGCCACGGCTCGTTTACATGGTGATGCTTCGGACCAAATATTATTCTGGCCATCTTTTTAATTACTGCATTTTCTACACACCTTTCTTACAGCACTTGTGGAGACTTCAGGGGGTGTTCCCACGGGCTCAAAACACCCATGTCCTGCAGCTCCAAGCGCTTTCTGTTGCCTGAATGACACATGCATTGAAACTGCATTGAAATTGTTTTAGTTGATCGATTTCACCGTGACTATAGTTTCCTGCACCTCAATTTGTTTTTATTCAGTACCTTTTACCTTGTTTTTATTCATGTACTGTCTTGTGCACACTGGGAACTTTTTGCAAATGTATTCCAATGTGGTTTTAATTCAAATGGCAAATACACTGAATCTGAATCTTAAGCTTAGATTTCTTTCCCTAAAAAAGTGCTGTCCGGCATTAACAGGTCATAGGACGGCCTTTATGATAGATCTAGAGCCCAGATCCTGGATTGGAGTTCTTTAAATATTTTTAGTTTGATATTAAAGATAACAACAAGAGATCACGCAACAAGACGGACACACACCCTTCTTATCTGCTTCAATGATTGACTGTGTTACTTAAGTTAACAATTTATTAAAAAGGCAAAGATGAATCCATTACATGAGCTGAGACAGGAGATGCACGGTGTTAAATAGAATACAGATTTAAAATGTAAAAACTGTGCTGTCCATTGACTGCTTTGGAAGATTCCCAAAGAGCGAAAGATTCATTCGTAACGGGCACCTTTTCCTTTTTTTCTTTTATAAATATAAAAATAGGACAAAAATGTTTTCATGATCGTCGTTGTGCATACAAATTCCACAGGTGTGCATCATGTTGTTCAGGAGTTTGAGAGGTTCCCAGGGAAAGTCTGGGTGCACATGAACAGAGGGTCCATAGAAGCCACTTTGGCAGCGATGAAGGAGTGGATGCAGTGGAGGACGGCCGTTAGGTTTGCAAACTCCAGCTCCTGAAGATCACAAGCAGAAACATGTATGTGTCCTGCGTGACTTTGAACCAAGATATCACAGTCTCAAGCACTATCTACCTTCATGTCGATCTGCTGGCTGTCAGGGTTCTTGAACAGAAGCTTGACCCTTGTTTTTCCGTCGTCCGATGATCCTTTGAGCTGAGAAAACTTGTATCGCCACAGCAAAGTCTACGAGACAGAAGAGAGCGGTCAATAGAACTAGAGAGAAAACAGGTCCCACAGTGTCTCTCCTACAGGAAGCAGATTACAAGATCCATGATAATTCTACAAAGAAAATAAATAAGCAGACTGAGCTTATTTATGAAACCTAATCTTAAAGTATTTAAATCACAATGTTGAGTTGAAATAGTTGTAGATGATACTGTACCTTGGAAGGACTTTGAGAGCAGCTGAAGCCGGAGTCAAAGTCCACAGTGAAGCACAGCACACTGCCTTGGCTGCTGCACATGTAGCTTTTGGTCTGTGGACACAACATTAAGACTTAGTGAGAAGAGTAACAGTGTTTCTCATTCAATACGATTTATGACTCTGCAATAGTCGGGGTAACGATCAGAGCTACGCCAAACCGACCCATCTGTCGTTTTGATTTTCACCCATGAACACAGCCAAATGCCTTTGTGTCTGCTAGTACAGACACAACAAATATTGCTAAAACATTTATAGTAATCTTCCAGACAATTCCAGTGATTGAGTTGGAAATTAGCCCAAGGATACAATCTGGTGTTCTGTATACTTTAGTACACACCGTTAAACAAATAAAGAACTACTTACAAAGAAATAAGCACAGTTCAATCAGGAAAGACTTGAGATGAAGATTTAATCAGAATATTTATTGTCAAGATGCATGAATAAACACCAGCAGACTTGGATTGAGTACTATTATATTTATTGATAAGCTTTGGCAAATAGACCCCTGCGGGAATACTGCATGACGTTTGCGGAAGGGAGTTTAATAGAAAATATGAGGGTGCGACTCCCCAGGACCTAGACCCTGGTGGTGAAGAAGCTGAGCCGAGGACATGACATGATACTCTACTGAAGAGGTGTTGATGGGGAGGAGGTGGGTTGATGCTCGAACAGCAGCTTGAGCTGCAGAGACCTGAGAGGCTCTGTTTAAGTGCAGCCATGAAGTGATGATGAGCACAGGTGTGTTACTGAGTGGCTGAGGCTGATGTTGAGCTCAGGCACAGCAGTGTAGAGGGGGAGGAATCAGTGTGGAAGCGTGACGTCTCTTTGGTCTTCCTTTCTGAATTTCTGCTTAAGCTTCATTTCTGGCATCAAACTGGCAGAAGGAGAAGCAGTAGACACAGAAGCAGGAGCAGCAGTAGCAAAAACAGCAGTAGAAGCAGCGGCAGTAGCACAGGGCGGCACAGTGGCTAGCACTCTCGCCTCTCAGCAAGAAGGTCCTGGGTTCGAATCCCTGTCGAAACAGGGCCTTTCTGAGTGGAGTTTGCATGTTCTCCCTGTGTCTGCATAGGTTTCCTAGGCCGCGAGAAAAATCATGTTTTACATGAGATTTCAATGGGAGACGCGTTGGTGCGCGCACAAAATTAGAAATCCATCCTAAATTAGAGCGCAGCTTTGCGTCATACGTCCGTCATAAGCGCGTATAACGCTAGAAGTGTAAATATCATCATAGGTTAACATGGAAAAAAGTTACGCGAGTCTGCTGCGCGTATAACGCGTATGTGCTGTAACGCGTTATGTGTAAATTAGCAGTTAGTGGCATCAAGATGGGTCAAATCCAGAGGATGAATTGCCCTATATAAAGCACACATTTAACATTTTTTAGCAGTAGCAGTAGTAGCAGCAGAAGCAGCACCAGTAGAAGCAGTAGTAGCAGTAGAAGCAGTAGTAGTACAGTAGCAGTATTAGCAGTAGCAGTAGTAGTAGTAGCAGTAGTCGTAGTAGCAGTAGAAGCAGCAGCAGAAGCAGTAGCAGTAGAAGCAGTAGCAGTAGAAGCAGTAGGTAGCAGTAGCAGTAAAAATGTCTTTAAGAACACAATAAAGAGACTCTTAACTGTAAACCTCTGATAAAGACTTGAGGTTATTAAGGATGTAATGACACGTTTACGGCGAGTCAAGTACTCCACAATTAATGTCAAGAGAAAAGAACGATGTCATTATAAAACAAATAACCCAATTATATACTAATGCATGTGATGTGTCCACAAATATATACAGTTTACATATAATAATAAATAATTGCTTTAAGAGGCAAACCCAAATACAACTAAACTAGGGGTGTCAAAGCGGTCCTCAAAAGGCAGCTGTGGCTACAGGTGGCAACCCCTGCCCCACAGACTCTACCCATTTCCTCAGCTGAGTCCAGTTTTAACCTGAACATTTGAGGAAGCTCAGGTTGGAACGAACACGTGCAGCCACACCGGCCCTTTATTAAACCGGTTTGACACCTGGACCATTGGTGTCTAAGTCAAGAACAGGGGGCCACATCCGGCCCCGCAAATGAATTATCTTGGCCCCTGGAATGATATTTTATTATTAAGAAAATATTGGATTATTCATTTAATGTTCAGGACATTTTTCATTGTTTTCTGTTTCTGTGAGTTTGTTGAAATATGTTTTCACTAGATATGACTGACAGAGCCATACAAAAATACTGGATTATTTATTTAATCAATCAATCAATTCAATAAAATATGTCTGTGTTAGGTCTTGGTTCAATAAGTTACATACAATCTTTTTAATGTGTTTTAATAAACACTGAACCCGTCCGGCTCTCAGCCTTCAGCAAATTTGTTTTTTTGGCCTCGAATGTATTTGACTTTGACATCCCTGGGCTAGAAGGATAAAGAGTTTAGAGAATTCATTGGACAGAAAATGTGAATAAAGTTTGAGCTAGAGCAGAAAACGGGGCAGGTACAGGGCAGGTGCGGGGCAGGGAGGGAGCAGGTGCGGGGCAGGTGAGCTACAGCAGTGGAAACTGTGGCAGGCACAAGGATTATTGTGAACTATAGAACTGGAGAAATGATGCTTATTCACTGTCTTGATGAGCGAAGCGCTGCAGGTGTGCAGGCTAACCAGGGACAGCAGAGAGCTCAGTATCATAACATCTGTAGTTTCCAGACGCCTCTTAGTGCAACAACATGGGTTGGATTTGTCTCTCGTTGCCTGGCAACTTAATGGGTTCGGAGTAACTTTGGGGTTTGGTTTTCTAGGAAACATGGCACTGACTTAACCTGCTCTGTCAGGTTCATGGCTATTATCACACAGCTATTAAAAACAAACCTTGTTTCTGCTTCTGTAACCATTCATCTTTTTTTGTTTTACAATGCAATATAAAAAGGATTGGATCGATGTAATAATATATCTAAGGGATAACGTATATTACGCAGGTCATTATCGGAAAATAAGTACCGACAGGGCGAAGCGGACCCCGACGCGCACGTGTGTGAAGAATGTATGTGTATAAGAATTCTCCGATTATCATTTAAGTGTGTTGATTGAGCGTGGCTAGCTCCGGAGTGGCCGGAACTACTTGCAGAGTTATCCACGCATTTGAAAGACAAGCAGAGAGTGCGTTGCCATAGGCAGCGGTCATTATTGTTTTGAGAGGTCCGTTATAGAAAATAATGACCGGTAGAACGTTTTGAAATTACATTCAAATCAATGGAGCGTTCTACTGCTGCTGTGAGGAGCCGTATAATAATAAGATATAATAATTGGACATGTTTTATTGTATTTTTGTTATGTACACAAAGGGGGATATTTTCTGAAAGACAAACATCATATTTTATACATGTTTCATATTATCTTATAGTTTTTACTTTAACAGTTACAAAATATTTCAATCATTCAATTCTGAAGAAGCTTCTGTCCCCTCAGAGGTCTCTGTCCTCAGAGGTCTCTATCTTCAGAGGTCTCTGTCCTCAGAGGTCTCTGTATTCAGAGGTCTCTGTCCTCAGAGGTCTCTGTCCTCAGAGGTCTCTATCTTCAGAGTTCTCTGTCTTCAGAGGTCTCTGTCCTCAGAGGTCTCTGTCCTAAGAGGTCTCTGTCTTCAGAGGTCTCTGTCCTCAGAGGTCTCTGTCCTCAGAGGTCTCTATCTTCAGAGGTCTCTGTCCTCAGAGGTCTCTGTCCTCAGAGGTCTCTGTCCTCAGAGGTCTCTGTCCTAAGAGGTCTCTGTCTTCAGAGGTCTCTGTCCTCAGAGGTCTCTGTCCTAAGAGGTCTCTGTCTTCAGAGGTCTCTGTCCTCAGAGGTCTCTATCTTCAGAGGTCTCTATCTTCACAGGTCTCTGTCTTCAGAGGTCTCTATCTTCAGAGGTCTCTATCTTCAGAGGTCTCTATCTTCAGAGGTCTCTGTCTGTCTTCAGAGGTCTCTGTCTGTCTTCAGAGGTCTCTGTCCTCTGAGGTCTCTATCTTCAGAGGTCTCTGTCCTCAGAGGTCTCTGTCTTCAGAGGTCTCTGTCCTCAGAGGTCTCTATCCCTGTGTCCTCAGAGGTCTCTGTCCTCAGAGGTCTCTGTCTTCAGAGGTCTCTGTCCTCAGAGGTCTCTGTCCTCAGAGGTCTCTGTCTTCAGAGGTCTCTGTCCTCAGAGGTCTCTATCCCTGTGTCCTCAGAGGTCTCTGTCCTCAGAGGTCTCTATCTTCAGAGGTCTCTATCTTCACAGGTCTCTGTCTTCAGAGGTCTCTATCTTCAGAGGTCTCTATCTTCAGAGGTCTCTATCTTCAGAGGTCTCTGTCTGTCTTCAGAGGTCTCTGTCTGTCTTCAGAGGTCTCTGTCCTCTGAGGTCTCTATCTTCAGAGGTCTCTGTCCTCAGAGGTCTCTGTCTTCAGAGGTCTCTATCCCTGTGTCCTCAGAGGTCTCTGTCCTCAGAGGTCTCTGTCTTCAGAGGTCTCTGTCCTCAGAGGTCTCTGTCCTCAGAGGTCTCTAGCCCTGTGTCCTCAGAGGTCTCTGTCCTCAGAGGTCTCTATCCCTGTGTCCTCAGAGGTCTCTGTCCTCAGAGGTCTCTATCCCTGGGTCCTCAGAGGTCTCAGTCGGTTCTGTACATGTTTATCATTTCAGTGAAGTTGACAGTGACCCACTTTGTGTTAATTTTCACAATAATTAAACTGTAATGAGACCAGAGCCATTATTCCTTTGATTTTCAGCACCTTTCCTTCTGACTTTAAAGACACGCAGGCTGTGGTCGTGTTAATAATAATAATAATGCATCGGTTTTATATAGCGCTTTTTTGGACACTCAAAGACGCTTCACATGTGTCATTATTCATTCACTCCATACACGGTGGTGATAAACTACTGCTGTAGCCACAGCTGCCCTGGGGCACACTGACAGAAGCGAGGCAACCAGTATGTGCCATCGGCCCCTCCGACCACCACCAACCATTCACACACACACCAGACTCATTCTAGGCAATGGGGGTGAAGTGTCTTGCCTAAGGACACAACGGCAGTTTGGCACTTTACAGCCGCAGCCGCCCCACTGTGGCTGGTGTTCCCAGAGGTTAAGTGTCTTGCC